GGGAGCATCTGGGAGCTTTGGGCCTAAAGGAGACGACGGGACTGACCTAACTGCTAAAAGAGGTTTAAAAGCCAAAGGTGGACCAAAGGGGGAACGCGGTGTAAACAGGAAATAAACTCAGCCCGGCGCCTCTCCAGACAAGGATACTCCACCGGATGGCATTTACTAAGACAAGGTCATGCTTATCGGCTTCTTCTGCAAATGATGACGATAACCGTTTTCCCTTTTAGGTGGCCGAGGTCGCTTATGCCCGGCACCAACTCAGATCATCAACAGAGCGATGCATTCACATGTAATGTTCCAGCACCGACGTGTTCATTATTTTTTGCACACAAAATAAACCCCATCAGCCGTGACCTTCACAGGCGCGTGTACCCCATCGTTCGGTAAAAGTGGTGTTCATTAAAGAGGTGATGGGAAATTATAATATTTTATTTGTCCATAAATATCTTACATATGCACGTGTTTCCTTCAACATAATTCCAGGTATATGACTGAGAAACGTGCGTTATTTTGGCCAGTGAGGTTTAACGTAGCCGAATGTCTGCGTCGAGTAGCTGTGGTATTTCGATACGTACATGTGCTTGCATGACCGGCGTGAAACGATGCCCCTCTCGCTTAGTTTCACGAAGTTTGCCCATTTTCTCCTCAGTGCCTAAAATATTACACCCTTGTGATCAACTAAATAGCTGACCATCAATGAAATGCATGAAACTAGGGCGCAGGTTTGGCATCATGAGGCGGTGCAGCTGGTCTAAAAGGATATTTCCCGCAAAAAAGTGGAAAAAAACGGGCGAGGAAATATGATTGATTCTCAACTCCAACTGGAATGTTTTATTAACTAGGGATCTGCAAGGTTCAGTTCACATAAAGGTCGTTTGGTGCAGTGGTGACCTAAGTGGGAATATAGTAACCATGGAAACCAAGTGACCTGTAATAAATATGGTAGGCCTAACTGCGCAGCCCATGTAAACTGGAAAAAACTCTGGTAGCCCGTGACCCGTGAAACTGTCACCCGTGTCCCGTGTCTCCTGTCCCGTGGTTCTACAAAATATAAGAACAGGAATAATTTCTGAAAGGCAATTGACACGGGCATGTGGCCTTAATATTCACGTGTGAGCAGAAGTAAGTGGAATAAAATACAAAACTACACTGTAACTTACACTTAAGTTATTATGGATAACTTTGATTCTGCTGGAGACAAAAAGGGCCCCTAAAATCCTCCAAATTATAAAGGAACGATCTCACTTACCTTTAGGATTCACGCACAGGGTTGGTCTGGGATAATTTGCAGTTAAGTAGGCTGGTTTGGGAGTCACAGTTAACCTTGGGATTTGGAAAAATTCAGTTGGGAAAATGAAGTGTGAAATTTGGCAAAATAATCACATTTGACGGAATGACTGGCTGGTGATTACATATACAAAATATTGAGGGCGCTATTGATTAAAATCGTTAGGCTATTAACTTATATTTGACGGAATGACTGGCTGGTGATTAGATATACAAAATATTGAGGGCGCTATTGATTGAAACCGTTAGGCTGTTAACTTGTATCATATTTGACGGAATGACTGGCTGGTTATTAGATATACAAAATATTGAGGGCGCTATTGATTGAAACCGTTAGGCTGTTAACATATTATATTTGACGAAATGACTGGCTGGTGATTAGATATACAAAATATTGAGGGCGCTATTGATTGAGACCGTTAGGCTGTTAACTTATATTATATTTGACGGAATGACTGGCTGGTTATTAGATATACAAAATATTGAGGGCGCTATTGATTGAGACCGTTAGGCTGTTAACTTATATTATATTTGACGGAATGACTGGCTGGTTATTAGATATACAAAATATTGAGGGCGCTATTGATTGAGACCGTTAGGCTGTTAACATATTATATTTGACGGAATGACTGGCTGGTTATTAGATATACAAAATATTGAGGGCGCTATTGATTGAGACCGTTAGGCTGTTAACTTGTATTATATTTGACGGAATGACTGGCTGGTTATTAGATAAACAAAATATTGAGGGCGCTATTGATTGAGACCGTTAGGCTAGGCTGTTAACTTATATTATAACTTGGTGAATCAACAGAGCGCGCCGTTCACTTCTCACTGTCTGTCGATGCTTTCTAACAAAAGTTTTGGACGCCATTTCGCTTCAATTTTTGAGTGGATTGACGTGATGTACTGACTCTTCCGTTCGTGTCTGTTTCTTCACGTCTTGCAGACCGTCTGCGTAACAAACGACCATATGGAAACCAGGCTTAAGACGGGGCAAAGTGGAGAGAAACAGCGACGACCCGCCTCTCTATACTCTGCAGCCGGCGGGGCAGTATCCGCTTTAAGCAGAAGCACACCCTGCTTTGACAGGCATATGAGACTACACTTAATCACTGGGTTTAAATGCTGGTACTTCCCCCCCCCAAAAAAATTCAACGGGCAACCTACCCTCGCCCCCTGGACACGTCACGGGTCGTTCTACTTTTCTTATTTTCCAAATTTAAAAAGTTGATTTCCAAGCATCTTACTGTGCAAAGGGAATCAAAAACAACCAAACAGACTTTGTTTCCATGTTAAAGTCATGAGCCTCCTTTTTAAAACTATGACGTGAGCACAAAGTCACAAGGAAAAAGTATGATATGGTTTGATATCACTCAGTGTGGGAATTCCCTGGATGCCTACATAGCATGACATCAATACTCGATATTTGTCATCAAGATGACAAATATCGAGTAGGGATGTCCCTAGGCGTAACCATGAAGGTTTTCCGGGCAAGACTGGAGTGACACACCTCACTCATATCGTATTTTGATGTTTATATAGTGAATATTAAAGAATGGTACCCGCAAGGAGTCTGTGTAGTTCAGAATGACCCGTTCAGCTTATTAACACCACGCAGAGAGAGTAGCGCCAACTTCCAACTTTCGAATTAGAATTGCTGTTCATTACAATGTTCATTACAGTAAGCCACCATTATGGGTCTAACAATTGAGACAATCATGTCGGAACTCTCTCTATATAAACAGCTCTGATCAAGACCCATTACACATGCGCCACTGAAAATTTCTTTCGAAACAGGAGCGAGAACGTTGAACTGGGAAAGGATATAAGTAGCCCCAAAAATGACTACTTAGAACTGCAAACACCACCAAAACAATTTCAGAGCCACAGTGCAACAAACAAAAGAAGAGACAAAGTTAGGTCCAATGGGCTATGCACCTGGAGCAGAAGCACCCGCTCAACGGTTGAAAAGAGCCGCGTCGGTCTGGAGTATTTGTTGGTAGCTATGCCACTGCCGTGTTGCGTTTCCTCGACGCTCGTGAACCAGCAGTATATGCAGTTATACAAAGGTCGTATAACGCCGCGAAGCTGCGCAAGATATGGAACTCTGCCAAAATGGTGCACACACCCTCGGCACCATTCGAGCAAGCAATGCGTCTGCGCAGTGCCCATTAGTGCAAGAGGGTCAGGAAGAATGTCATCTCCGTCACTGTCCGGCAATTTTAAGTAATTTGTTACTTTTAGTTAATTTAGTATTTAACTTAGACTGCTTTACATGAAATGCTATTAATAATATTTTTTGATAATAAAAAATTATTATGTTTCATGAACAAAATAAGCAAGATTGAGCCACTTTGTTTACTTTTAAGCCCTACAAAGGGACAGATGATATTCCCCCTAGTGTTGTGGCTTATAATATACATTCGGGTATTTTGTCCAAACTGCTTGCTCAAATGGCGGTCAGGGGAAATACAATGTTTCAAGCATATTTGCGGTGAGGTTCTCCATCTTGCAACGCTATGTGGCGCTATATGATCTTTGGTTAGTATCAAAGGGGCCTCCGCTGCTAAGAAAATAGCTCTTGGTCCAGCTCGAGCCCATATATGGGAGTCGCAAACGTTGTGGGCGATGGCAGGCTATAGCGGGGAACACAATGATCAACCGTTGTGTGGTTGCATTAATTCCCAACTTGTTCTGCGCTTCCTGGCGTTCACAACTTATAGCAAAGAATATGCATTAACTTAATTGTCGATGATTAAAATGCTTCGGTGAACAGCCCCTGTAATAACAGTCTGTCCAGAAGCCTGGTCCCATGAAATACGTTCATGACTGAGGGACGCTAAACAAGTTGGTGCACAGACTGTCTGGCACAGCACAAGACAGTCGGTCACCGTCGGTTTGACCACCCCCCGCACTCCAACACTACCGCTATATGCTTCAGCTGATTGTTGGGTTCGCGTATCTATTAAGCAGATACCACATTATACAGTCGAAAGCATGCAGGAACTTGAGGAAATACCGAGTATGCGTCTGTACTTCCTCATTTGGTTCATTAAGAGTTCAACCACCGCGATGTGCAGCATGGAATGAAAACAAAAATCTGTAGACTTATGTGCAGTGCCAGACTTGGTGTCAAATGGAGGTATATAGTAGCTGGCATTTTCGTTGCATTTTATTTGTCAGATTTATTTATTTTTGTTGGAATAACAGCGAATTAAATGGCAATTGATTATGAACAGGATAATAATAATAATAATAATGTTCGGTGTCTGAGGTAGGAGGAAAGCCCTGGATCATCCACGGAATCACGTAGGGGCCGACAAACAATTGTTGTATTTATCTATCAAAGTTGTCGTTACCACCACCAGTGACTTCAGGTAAGTGATCCCTAACTGACAGGTTTGCTTGTGTCAATCAAAAAGCACGTGACATAATGATCAACCTCCGTGACAAGAAGACATGATCGCTTCATGGTGTCACTGAAGGAAGTGCCAACTCTGGTAGCCCTACAGCCCAAGCGCGTGACAGCATTGTACTCACGGGCAACTTCCGCCCAACCCACGCGAGGGAAGCCGGTGATGTGTGTGAGTGACAGTGCGCACGGCCCAATCACGAACCGGGCCCGGCTTCCCCCCCCCCTCCGGTCACCCGTCAGGTGATCTGGTGGAAAGTTCAAAAGCTCGAGCGGCCGTTGGACTCCTCAGAACCACCACCGCTCATCTCAGCCTCCGGTTGGCGTCCTGACAAATCGACCGCAGCAGTCAAGAAGTCCCAAGGTAAGCGTCTTGCGCAGAAGCGTTTTCAGACAGGAAAAGCACTTGTTCTTCAGTGATGACTGAAGCTCCCTTTCTTTGCTTATTGCAATCTTTTGGAAAGCTTTTCCGACGCACAGGAATGAACTTATGATTCGTATATTCTGTGAAAATGCACGTCTACACATTCCTTCCCCAGCTATGGTATACAGCTCCTTTATAAAACAAATCCGCCGTGATATTGAAGAATCGCTTAATCGCAGCAGAGAGCAATTATTGGATTGAAGCAGTTAGGAAAAAAAATTTCGAAGTCCTGCCTGCTCTTCTGAAATCCTTTCCAATCCGCAACTGTTACTTTCTTCTTTACCTGTTTTTCACGAACTTAGTTCGAAATAAAAGAAAACTACATCGCCCTTTGTATTTCATGCCGTGTGCATTCGGCATTTATGAAGACATTTGCTGATTGGCTGCATTCCGAGGGCACACGGTTTTCCTATTCCATATCGTTGCAGCTTCATGCGTGACCTCAGCTGAAATATATAAGAATCAGTGACATGAAGAGTTTGTCGCTTTAAATGTGACATTCTCACGCCAATAATTATTTATCGTGATACTCCACGACAACTTTCAGTTGAAGTCGGATACCTCCACTAACTCCGTCCAGAATTTTAGGCCACATCTCCCAATCCCACCGCAATCGATTGTGTCTCTTCAGCTGGCTATTTTTTTGGCCTGATCGAACTATATTACATGTACTACATGTATACACTTGTTAATACCATTCCATTAAAGCTCCTTATCAATGCCTGCATTACCTTTTAGATCCCTCTCTAACTTTCGAGCACACTTTGCTGCTGGTTTTCGTGTCTGTATCGTGAGCTGAAATCTTGTTTGTCATCAGAGTGTGAAACAAAGTCTCAAGACAGTTAGTTTCATGTCGGTATCGCAATTAATACGGCCATTTCACATGAGTGCGCCACCAAGAGTTTGTAATGCGTTGGCCAATTACAATGTGCGAAATTTGTTTACCCAATGCGCGTTTGAAAGGAGGCAACAAATTTCACAGGTTATGATTGGCCAACCTGTTGCAAACTCTTGGAGGCGCACTATCGTGAATCGCCCGTATTGCGATGCACAACGGGACACGGTCTTCTGAATTTCCATCAGTTCTTGCGAATTAAACCGAAACCTTTTTGAAAAGGAAATTGCTAGGAAAGGTATAACAATATAGGAAAAATCTATAAATCAGTGAGTTTTGTATTTTGGGACAGGAAGTCTTATGCTCGGTTAGAATGCTTGTGTTGCAACAATTGTTTGATACTTTGTCACTAACGTTGTCCAAAATCGATGTGCATGTTTGGATTGTGCCTTACACAAAGGATGACCCAAAATGTTACTACTACTGGAATAGTGTTCCCAATGTTTTACCACTTTTTGCTGCATCCCCAAAGCTCCTCAGTGAATGCATGCAGGCATTCCCATGTTAAGGCCTTTTTCCAGGGAGAGGTGCTGTTAATTTCATAGCCTTAATAGGGGTAACCGTCCCGAAGCCTTTTTTAAATTAATTGCCCCTCACCCTTTTGAGGGGAATCATGGCCCCTGATTCTCCCCATCCCTTTATCTGCCTACGGCCAAGCAAGTTTACCCAACCCCCCCCCGGCCATAAAAAACACGGTTACGCCTTTCTCGTGTTTGTGTAGACTTGTTTGTATTTTATGCAATCATTCTATTGGTCCTCCAACTTTTCGTTGGCCCACAAACCTTTAAGGGCCTCAACATTTTTGGCAGGCCCTCAGTGTTTTCATTAATGGCATATTCCACAGTTAACTTCACAGAACGATAACAAGCATTGTTATTCTTCTTTGGCATTATTTCAGCTTACACTAAACTCTTGCTAATCCACTAGTTTTGTCCCCGGTCTGTGAATTCAAGACACGGTCGAGGTGAGCGCCTTTATTATCTTTCTCCTTTTTTTTCTAAAAAAGTAGTTTTTTTATATTAACAATGAGCCATTTCGGTATTCCAAGAGCGCATCCTCGTTACAAGGCTAGTCGGGAACAGCTAGCTGCGCGCGCGCGCGTGATACTCTGTCCTATCAGCGCAGCCATACACTGACTCGCGCGCGCTTTGTTCCCGAAAGACTTTGACTATTCGAGATACCGAACTTGTTCACTGAATCTACACACTTGTCTCTTTCCTTCGGTTGCAATGGATATCGTTAATTTAAGGTACTGATTTTCCCCTGTTCCAGCAAGAGCCATTAGGATCTGACCAATTTCTTTTCAACAAAGCCAAAGATTCCAACTCTAACAGTGTCAGCCCCCCTCACTCCGCGCCCACTTTTCTAGATTCCACCACCACCCCTAATTTCCAGCACCAATTTACGCCAGTGTGAACATGATTCCTCCGAACATGATTTGTGCAACTTTCTACTAGTTTAGAATAGGCCTAATTGTAAATACGATTCGACACCTCATTTGAGTTGATTTTCTACTGAAGAGTAGACCTTTCAAAACAGTTTTGATATGTTCGGGCTTTTTCGAATGACGTAATGGCACCGTTGCTTTGATGTCGTTACCAGCGGCGAGTGTTCACTTTCTGGAATTTTCAACTAACACTTGAAACTCGGAAAAATTCTGATTAAAACTATCTCTGTGGAACTCTGCTCACCGGCCTACTGTCGTGAATGTAGTGAAGAATTAAGAGAGTGCATTGAAAGAAACAGTGCAGACGACGACCGTCTAAGACTGTAACGGGCCGATCGCTACAGGTTGTTTTAGGATCCCGGAGACAGATAGTCCACACAATATTCCACAGTATTAGGCGGATTTGATAACGATAATATGATCTCACCACATCTCAGGACGCCATTTTACGAAAAAAAACCCGATGACCTATCCCATCATGCCTTTTCCTATCATGCAGTATGGTGTCATGTCCTAGAACAGACATATGCATTTGCAAGCTATACACTGCATTTGTATGAATGTGTGTGTATACCAATTCGCTGCAAGACTAGCTGACGCAGCAGAGAGCTAGACTGTCGTTGACTTATAAGATTCCTACTCTTGAAATGACACAACCCTGACCCATCCCTCGTTCAAATGTAGGGGATGTATATTTTCAATGGCTCCGTGTGATTCTACCCCCTGAAGCTGGTCCACAAATTTTGCTTCCTAAACTTGTTCGATCAGCATGATTTTGAGGTAAGTTTTTTATACAACTCTACCCAAATCAGCACATTATTCCTTGCCCTTCTCTGTATTTCAACCAGTGTTGGAGGTCTCGAGACCTGGTCTCGGTCTCGAGACCGTCTCGAGACCTTTTTTGAGGTCTCGGTCTCGGTCATCTTGGTCTCGGTCTCGGACTGCAAAAGTCTCGGTCCCGAAGTTCTGGTCTCGGTCTTGAAAGAGCTGGTCTCGGTCTTGGTCTCGAATGCCTTGGTCTCGGTCTCGGACGTAAAGGTCTCGACTACAACACTGATTTCAACCCCCTTTTTTTCTCTTTCATTTAAGATGAAGATCTGCTTTGCGACCGCACTTTCAATCGTCATTCTTCTGGGCAACTGTATCAAACTCCGTGCTGCCATTACCGGGCCGGCTCCCGCGGAGAGCGATAGTCCTGGGTCTCAGGTGTGTTCAATGTGCTGCCAGGGACCTGCCGGAACCCCTGGTATTCCGGGATTGCCGGGAAATCAAGGAAATGCGGGAAGCCCAGGACTTTATGGCCCCACGGGGTCAAAGGGCGACGCAGGTGAGCCGGGTGCAAAAGGTGAGGTTGGTCTAGCTGGTGCCATGGGCGAGCGGGGAGCACCTGGGAACCCGGGGCCTAAAGGAGATGACGGAATTAGCCTGCCTGGTAAGATAGGTCCAAGAGGTCCACCTGGTTTAGGTGGGCCAAAGGGGGCAAGCGGTGTCAAAGGTCAAAAGGGTGAACTGGGTGAAGCCGGCGAGGCTCTAGAGACTCCACGGGTAGCATTCACTGTGACGAGGACGACCTCCTCGGCTGCTTCTTCGAGTTACAACACCCGTTTGCAGTTCCAGGAGACTGAGACGCTTCTGCCGGGTACCAGCTTCGATCTAGAGAGCGGTGCGTTCTCGTGTAACGTGTCAGGCACCTATGTGTTCATGTTTTCTGTAAGAAAACAGAACCCCAGCAGTGACCTTCACGTTAAGCTTTGGAAAAACGGAGTCGTGATTGTCACCGGCGTCAGCACTGATTCAAGTCACTATGAACAGGTGTCTGGGAGCGCGGTGCTGGTTCTACAGCAGGGAGACTCAGTATATGTAACCATGAAAGGTACTGCGTACAGTGATTCCGATCATGAAACGTCATTCTCTGGCTTCCTCCTTTACGCCAAATAAAAAAATAAAAATAGATAGTACCTGAGCCTAAGAGTGTTAATTGCTAACCTTTTTCATTACTATCCCTTAACAAGAAATTATAGGCCTATGCATCAGAAATAAACCAGTTTTAATAAAGGAAACAAGCTTGCATTTTCTTAAAAACGTTTTGATTTTCTGCATGAAATACAGCCGACCAACACGTTCAAATACCGAAAAAAAGTGTCAAGATGTGTTTGCTTACTAGTAATGTAAGCAAAATGTATGCAATTTTGTTGAAGCACTCTTTCGAATGTGCCTACTATTTCAATGTTCGGGAGCCAAGGAGAGCTCAATTACAGAATACCCGCCATCCATCACAATCAACCTCATAGCCAGGTTGAATTCAAAATGCTTGTAAACACGGGTGGATCCTCCCTGTGTTTAGCGGAATCATGTCTTTTGTTCTGCCAATCGGTGTTGTGGGAACATAGTTATCGTCCCTATCATATTATTGGCCCCTTACAACATTTCTACATCTCAACACGTGTGTAATCCGGTAACGAGCATGGTGCAGATACATATCAAACCCTATTTTGAAAACAACAGATGGAGTGCAAGTTTACAGTGAAATTCTCCGCATGAAATGTTATCGCAAAAAGGAATTAACAGCAGCAATTGCCTTAATCTTGTTTTATGTACAGCCTATCAATTTTTAATGTAATTAATTAAGTAGCCAATTGACGTTAGTAGCCAATCAATACAGGCGTTTCACAATAGTACGCCACCAAGAATTTGCAGCGCGTTGACCAATCACAAGTACGTGAAATATCTGTCGACCCAATTCGCTTTTGGAAAGGGTCGACTGTTTTCACGTACTGTGATTGGTCAACGAGTGGCAAACTCTTGGAGGCGCACTATTGCGAAACGCCCGTATTGATAATTCTCGTTAGATTTTTGAAATGCGCTCACTGCTTTCTCTTGTCAGATAAAATGTATAATTGGCTATATTTTACGTTTTCGAGATAACCGATGCAGAAAATCTTTTGGTATCAAAGTTCAGCTTGAACCAACCTTTAGAAAGGCTTAGGCTTAAAACAATGAAACGGGTTGTTCCTTCAGGCTGATTTATGCAGTTTTGAAACATGGCAGATAAAGAAGTACAACTTTGCAATGAAGACAAGAAAGTGATGTGTATGGAAGTTGTAATTGATGACAATATGTATCTTTAGTTATTTCAGAAAGTTTAATTATGGACACTTATGTTTTGTAATCAATCTGCAGCTATTTTTATAAAATCATTTATCAGTCTCATAAAGTCATGATTGCTTAATTGAAACATACACTGTTTAAAAACTGACTTTTGTCTCCAAAAGTATCCTTGTAATCCTTGTAATAAACATGTGAAGCTATGTCAGCAACGGAGAGAAAAACCGTTTGCTTGAACTTTGTTTTTCCACCACCTTGTGCGCTTCTTCATGGGGCCGCTGCGACCAATATTCATGCTGAAATGATAATTATTATTTACGAAATCCATGCATAACGGAAGTGAAAGTATTGATCGAAGTACAAAAGCCCTGCTGTGCCATCAAGTATTCATTTTCAAAAAGTGAAGCGTTTTTTCGAAGTTCGTTTTTATGGAAGTACATTTTTTTCACCTTCGTATTTTTCCAAAGTTCCTTTGCACAAGATATATATTCTCGAGTTCGTTCTTGTGAGATCAAATTTCAGAAAATTTTCTGTTTTTGAAAAGGAATCTTTTAACGAGATACATTTTTGACCATGTTTGTGTTTACCCAAAAATAACTTTTCCGAGCTAATTTTCAAGAAATATATTGCCAAGTTTGATTTCATAAAAAAGGAATGTCCAACAGTGTAATTCTTAAAACATACTATAAAAATGTATACATGTACATGTGTCTCATGAAACGTACTCGGAAAATCGTGAAAACAAATTGAAACGAAATCCTCAGTGGCTGATAAGCGACCTGCTCAATAAACTGGCATCGCCTGGCCTAAAACCCGAACCTCGGGCAGCAGAACTAGGCTGACATGATGTTGGGCTTTTTACCCAGTTTTTGAAGGAAGGGAACGGAAACTAGCCTCAGAAAAAAAGAATACCGCCTTTTTTAAGGAGTGCATGGCCCCACTGACCTCCCTCCCTGTGGATTCGCCCCTAAGCCCTCTAAAAAGCTATCTTTTGCATTGAATAATATGCGTCAGTTTTCAACGGCCTTCACGACTGCTTTTGGACTGATCATCTTCGAAGTGAAAATTGAAATGTCTTCAAAATTTATCGATCAACCAACTAAAACAGGAAATGAGGATTTTGAAACTTTGATTCTGTACATGTAGCACCTATTCTATTCAGTGTTTACCAAAGATTGTCTAGCGCCGCGCAGCGGCGCAAGATGGGCAACTCTCCACTGACACACGTAATCGCCATTAACGCCATTTTGGTGTGATATTGCGCCACAGTATAATGCGCGCGAAGTACAAAAAATGTACATGCACACTGTACGTTTCTGGGTGGCGCTCTGTGTACGAATGGATCGCGAAGCACAATGTCGTCGACGTGTGCAGCCATCAACCATTTTTTTTCTCCTCCAGTTCTATGCATCGACAGCAAAAGCAGGTTCAAGAAAAGCTTGGAACTATCATTCTTACATTTTCCCAAGAACAAAGAAAGGCGAGAAGTAATTTAAATAGTGCAAAGTGAAATTTACCAAAAAATAGGCATACAATAGCGGCAAAAATCAACACATAGGTGAAGCTAGATTGAGCCCCTAAATTAATGACGTTCATATTTGTAATGAGCCTTTGACCCATGAATGCATGTACATTGTAACTGGCTTAACATTCTACTAAACACCTAGGCATACGCTACAAATATTTACTGGCATATTGGACAAAGGATGAAAACCACACCACCTTCCTTTAGGAGTTTTATCAAGCTTTCTTTATTTCACAGACAGTATGGACAGTTAAAACAACAAAAGCGCAGAAACTGCACAGTTTGTAAATTCAGACTTGTTGCCCTATTAAAAAAAAAAAATGAATTTTACTATGTGCTTACATTTTATTTGATGTTTCCATTTCTTTAACAGGTAGATTCAACCACGATATAGTTGAAAATCTTTTTTCAACAATAAAGCGGAAGTGTGGGTTTCATGACAACCCAACTACATCCCAGGTTAGGTTTGGTGTCTAGCAGGCTCTGATAGATTCATGCTAACATTGAGCTCTCTTTCACAGAGAACAGAGCCCCAACAACACCATCACAAAGTGACATCATCACCTTCAGGACCCCTAAACATACATACCTGTTACCCAGCCTGTTCTTGATACCACCCATAGCTGGTTACCAGTGTTGTACAAGCCTAAAGAGTCATGTTGTTCCTTTTCAGTATGACCAGTGCAGATTGGCTTCGTTGTCACCCGAAGCAATTTTACATAATCCATCCCTCCTGTTTATACACAACAAAGCATGGGATACTACAAAATAAGATTCCGGGTCACTTATGGTGCTGTCACATTCCTTTGTTGACTTCTGTACTCTCTGTGAACAGGTATTCAGAACAGAATCTTCCACAGAATAACCAGTGCAATTTGTAATGAAAAGTGCCGTGGGATATCTGCCCCCAGGCGTACGAGAAACATGTATGTAGGGCCTAGGCTACAACTTCTTGTGTTTAAGATTGCTGCACGATCCGACAGCCGCAACCCAGAGAATGTAACCACACAGAACACACCAAAATTCTCCGATTTCATCTCCAACGGTATTAAGTTATGATGTTACACATTTGTATTTATGATAAATATAAGTTTTAATCTTAATTGGGGGTAAATATTTACCTTACTGCCCCTTTTTCGTGGATAGAACCTCCCGCCGCCATACGTCGCGTGTACAAACAGCTCGCAATTTGCACACCAAAATGGCGGATCGTGACCGTGAATTAACACATGCGGGATGGTCAGTTTCCCATCTTGCGCCGCTGCGCGGCGCTATACAATCTTTGGTGTTTACTACGCGGCTCGCTGCTGTTAATGTTGGCGACCTGAAAAAGTAGAAGTACGCCCTCTTTTGAATGCCCCGTAAAAGCGTAGCAAGACCGTTCATTAGAAAAGTGGGGGTGCGCTTTTGCCTACCAGATTTAAACCAACAACAAATTTTTAACAACAAAAGCCACAACAAACAGCAAATGCTGGGTATTCAATCTTGATGTTAAAATTGGAGCAAACTTGATTTGGAATTTGATTTTCTGCAAAGTCACAGGATGTTTACATTTGTAACACGATTTGTAAATGTACCTAAGCTAGTAATGGACGGAACCAAAGCGCAGGTGGTCGTACGACATACGTGACGTCACCGCAGGTATTTCAAAATGGCCGCGGACAGGTAAGCGAACGACGATATTTGTTTCACTTTCCACCGATGAGTTTCTCTCTCAAAAAGTATGCTTCTGCCGTTTTACACAGATAAATCAAGCATAGTATGTTTACATCAGTGCTTCCCGTTTTGGTTGTGCTAGGTCATCGGAGAAGTTGTCCCCGCTGCGAAGTTTGAGCAGCTTTAAATCAGAAATTCCGTTGACTATGGATGACACAACAGGACCTAGCAACGCAAAGTCGTAAGTTTTTCCCGGGTCGTACTAATCAGCGTTAACACACCGTCAACAAGCGTCAGCACATTGATAGTAACGTCAACACACCGCCAACACTTACAAAATGCATTGAAAACAGAAAACAGACCGTATCGAACTGTAATGTATACGCATGGCTTAGGAGTAATTTCTATTTAATCCAGTTTACATTTTACTACATTTCAAGGGAGTTTTTTCACGCGAAAAAATTGTCTCTTAGCAGCACAGCTGTTCGCTGCCATCTTGCCTTCTTACGGCATTTGGACTGTGCCATGGTTTACTGTATAAAGGTGACCCCCTGTAGTGTAATGGTATAATCCACTCTGATCCAGGCAACATGGCTACTGTCTGTCGTGGTTTGCGGAAGGTGTTATTTCCGTGAAATAAAACAGCTTTTTCCCCCCAAATGTCGCCTACTGTTGTTAGCCAAATTGCATTTTAGGCATTGTATTGCTATCGAATTGCGTTTCTGTTAACTTAGAACTTGATTTGAGTGTGTTGACGTTACTATTGTGTGTTACTATCGTGTGGATGTTGTGTTGACGTTTATTAGTACGACCGGTTTTTCCCTACACATTGACCTCAATCATGTTTCGATGTCTAACCTAGCAGCAGCAGGCTAGTTGGACACCTTTCTGATGCTAGACTTACTGCAGTCGTTGCATTAGCATGGGTAGAGAACTGGCCCCTCGTTAGTTGTAATATGGAGCAGTCAGACAGTGCAGTGATGGAAAGAGTTCCATACTATTACTAGGCGCCACTTGACACCCCATGCATAGCCTACACCATGTACACAAACTAGTAGGCCCTTAAAAATGTGGGAAAAAAATTCTGCATAGTTTGAGGACTTTCATACCCTGCACGTTAGTCGCAATGTTATGAAGACGTTGTCCAACCTGGGCCAGTAGGCCCCCTAGTATGACTTTTCTGAAAAATTCCAAGTAAGCCTAGGCCTAATGGTTTTCTATGTAAATGACTGAGTATTTTCTCTCCTAAATTGAACTTTATTGGACATGGGTTTGCTTTCTGATGGATGATAGGTCACTGCAGGGAATAATTACTGGCGTCTGTATGTATGAAACTCTTCCCCTTATTAAGTAATATTATAAGATGACAGTTTCTCTCATAACCATGATATTGGCTAACATACTAAGTAATGTGGGCCCCCTACCTTACTAAAGATTTAGACTCAATATGCAGACATGGGTAGGAACATGCAAGTGAGCGAGGGTGCTGGTTTTTTTGGAGGGGGGGTATTTTCTTTAAAAATAACATATGAAATTGTGATTGAAATTTGTCTTTTTCCACAGGCACTAGCTCCTCTATTCAATTTCCAATTTCAAAATTTTTGAAATCTCAAGTGAAGCCAGCATGTAATTCATTGAAATATAGTACAAGTAAGAACGATTTACTGTCAAAATCCATTTTTGTGTACCAAAAAATTACAGTTTGCTCGGCATTACACACGCCCAAAAGACACCCCTGATTATCTCAAAACATCCCTGCTTCAAATCAGTTTTTTTTTGCTTTGGAGAGTGATGGAATCCAAATTTATATCAAAATGTTTCTTATGACATCCTTTCCAAGGTCACTTCAAAAAGGAAACCAGAAAATAAAAAGTTGAAAAATTTATGAGCCTCCCTGCTAACACTGCTAACTAATCTTTTAGTTTCCTAGAACTGTAAATTTTTACAGGGGATTGTGGACCCCCCACCCCATTTTTTTGCCATTTTTAATCTTGTAAAACTGGTCAGTCCCCCCCAAAATTTTTGAAATTTCAAAGTTGTAGGCCTAGGCCTACATGTACATGTACATGCATATTGCGAGAAAATGTGACTTACATGTAGGCCTACTGATAAACCAGCCGTGGAAATTTGACTCCACCATGTGTCGTGTCTTAAAACACACTTTTCCCTCATAATTTCCCTAGGGCTGTGCTGAATATCCAAATAACTGAATAATTGATTGATTATGGAATATTTAAATGTTACAATTTGAATATTTGAATGCAAAATTCATGAAAAGGAAGGGAAAGTTTTCTTTTGTTTTAAATGAGAAAATTGCGCTATTGAGGCTTGTTTCAAGCAGATTCAAATGAAAAGTGACAGGAATCTTACTGTTCAACAATTCAAACACTAAATTATTCATTAAACAATTTAAAAGGAATAGAAATTTTCAATAGGAGGAAGAAGAAGTATTGTTTATCTTTTTTTGCTAAATCGTGGATGGAGATACTCCAAGATGGGAAAAGCTATTATTCTGATTATAATATACAATTATTTGCGTTATTGCAACTGATCTTGTATAACGGTTTGTTCATCAACAATCTGCTGGTTGCTACGACCGAATATTCAGATATTCAATCAAATTGAAGGTCGAATATTTGAATAGTGAATTATTCGAATTGACTCAGCACTAGATTTCCCCTTAAAAGTCTGCCCTTTTTTCACAATATCAGTATGATACACCCCACAGCTATTGAGCATGACATCATAGTCATGTACCCAGGGGAATCCAAAAGTTAAAATGTAGGTCTCCATTCTACTACTAGGAACAGGGTCCCTAAATATACAATTCCCGTTTAACAAATACTGACAAACCTGAGGCCGTCTAGCCATGAGAAAGAAAGTCATGAAGTTACATTCACAGCCCAAATGCCTCGAAGAGCTGTTGCCCGAACATTTTATTATTGAGGCCTGTATTTCTGTTCCATTTGTTCTGCACTTTATCATGTTTGTTACTCAGCATGAGTTACAAATCATTTCCAGCCATTAGATCAAATATCCAGTTCTCTAAAAAGTGTACTTGTAGAAGCACTAAGTACATCTACATGTAACAAAAGAAGTACGGTGCACTAACAATGGATGCCCATTGTAAGTGTTTCTTTTGTTAGATGTTGGACACAGTACTGCACAAGTACGTGTACCGATGAACCTTTTGTGTTGAAAGACGTGATTGGCCCTTCAGTTTGCATTGGCTTGGAACCGACCAATGGGGAATAGCAGCCGTTCCATGTGGGTGTTCGATGACGGCCGACCTTTTTCCTTCACAGTTTTGACTAATACCACTGTATGTGATCAAAGAAACTCCACGGACAGGATGTACGTTAGACCTGAAGAAAAACTGTTTGGACACTTCATTTCTTGACCTTCAATGTTTACAAACATTGAAGAAACCACAGAGGAGCAGAGCATGGGGAAAAATAATAGAAGAAGTGTCAATAAAAAATAATGAATAATACAAATTGAATAATACCCTCATGTGTTTTGGGGAATTCGGGACACAAATGTATGACTTCCATTCTCACGGCCTACATACATGTAGGCATGTACCTGTGCGTGTACAAGTACCTGCACTTTACAGCATTTGTTTTGGTCAGTCACTGGATTTGGAAAGTTTAGCTACACGTACATGCTGCGGTACATTGAGTATGATAGTTTGGACTGTGAGCCCTGTGTGAGGCAGTAGTCGTGATACATTTTCACCTTTATAGGCTTTCTTGGTGTGGTTAGATTTCATCTGGCATGCCCGGGGAGGGTGTTCATAAAGGGTACATGCTTGTATATGTATGTAATTGAAGTAGTGAAATGTACGGAAGACGTGCTTGTTAATCCGCCATGTGCGAGACTGAGAGTAGTACGATTGCTCACTTAGGTGAAAGGTCATCATGGGCATCACATGATAGGGGACAATACAAGAGGGCCGTTCCTCCCCCCTCCCCCCAAAAAAGGAAAACTACAAGTAAGTACATGTAACTTTGGTATATGTACCCAGTAATATAACCCCAAAAAAGCAAATTAAACGCAAGGGAAATGGAAAAGCTGGGACGAAAGGGATAGAAGATCACCAATTTTCTTGAAAACCCCTCAAAATTGACCCATTTCACTTTAACCAGTTCACTGCTGATGAATGCTTTTCTACACCATGTATGCAGTCGACAGTTTTATGAATAAAAAAAATGCAATAACAAAATACACATATGTTTACAAAGAACAGAGTTTGAGAATCCAGGTTTCTTGAATTCTAATGTTTTTGTTTGTTTTTCCACCCCTTTTATGTCCTGGTTAAAACAAAGTAACTTGTCTAGGCCACTGCAACTTCGTTTTAAAGCAAGAGTCAACTCTACTCCCAACAGGAAAAAAAAAACCTTTTATACATGAATGTACATGTACTTGAGACATGGTTCTACATGTACATGTATGTAGCTGACAAATTTTAAATTGGAGGTAGGGTTTCTGCTTCATGTATGCATGTATGCCAAAGCACATTTTTGGATCCACTCGTCCTTTTTAACCACAGCGTACTAAATGTAAACTTTGTCGTTTGCAAATTGCTTAGGTATAACGTACTGGGACACAGTACAGGTGCTGGTACATGTGTACTATCATTGCTATTGCTAATTTTTGGAACAATGAGTTCTTACAGAAACCACCACAAGAAACACTTGTCCAAATCTTCCCTTTTGTCCTCCTCAGGAGATATTTTAGAAAAGTCACCTGGAGATAGGTACCAAACTAATTTCAGTAACAACCTTTCACTTATGGCAATATCATTCCTACATGTACGTGTACACGTACAGTACATGTAGGTCTCCTTTTTTCTTGTGTGTTTGTTTTTATTCTCGGAGCTTATTTTAAAAAAAAACAGATTGGACAAAATTGTAAAGATTTACCTGCTAGTACTAGTGTACATGTACCTGCAGTCGATGGGTTCTAGATTCAGTCGAGTTGACCTGACCTACAGTAGTTCTTCTCAGCAAAGATTAGATTAAACATTACAATCTTTCGGAAATGCAGATTATTTTTTTCAGTTTATTTCCTTATAGGTTCAATTGATGCAAACTGAGGGACAGAAAGACCCCCCTCCCCGCCTTTGTGTTGGTCATTGTTATACTGGTATCTCAGGAATTCGTTTCAGACATCTACATCCGGGGGGGGGGGATGTGTTAAGTAACAATAGACTGGAGTGTGTACAGGGATTGGACTTGCTGGGGGGTATCCCTCTGTTCCATTTCGTGCCTGGTATAATATAGACTTATAACAAAATCCTTAAAATTTGTTGATCTGTTTTATTTTGGCTTTTAGCGAAAGACTAGCATAAAGTTAATTTCTGTAAGTGTTCATCTGTGTACGAGACTGCCAAATTGCACTGTTCTTAGCTTCTTCATGTATTTTACTTAGATTTTGGGAAGTGATGGGTAGGTTTGGGACAGTTTTGAGTATTTTTCCAGCTTAGATTGATATGCTAGCAAATATTTTACAAAAGTTGAGTCTTTAAGAAGAACATGCAACTGAAGGAAAACATTTTTACAAATTCTAAAATGTACCTTGGTAAAATATACATGTGTACATTTATATCATGTACATGTACATAACCACTTTGAATATGTTCATCTACACGTACAGTATCTCCAACCTTTCTTGTCCAACATGTCTCATTCAGTTTTGTTTACTTTCTTTGTCGAAAGCATTAAAAAAAAAGATGATGACCACCGTATACAAATAAGGTACAGAGCTGGTACACTGGCCTAATGTTGAGCTTGTGTGGATCACTCTGCAGATCAAAAATCCTCAAGTGAAATCATTGCACTTGCGTTATATTGGGTGAACGCGTTACCTTGAGTAATTTCTGTAGCGACCTCATGATGTACAGTGCACTTCAGTCATGTTAGTTGTGTGTAGCATTGGAAAGACTAAATGGTGCATCATTAAGGATGTTTTTCCCAGCACAGTACCACGTTGTCATTGTCCAGTCATGCATAAAGAGCAGGGTTGAGCCAACACCGGGTGGTGGTATGGTGACTGGCAGAGCGGGCAAAACCAGGAAGCTGAAGGTTTAAAAAAAAAAAAAAATCCACGCTGCTCGCTGTGTGCTCAGGGATCAAAGTTGCTCTGCATTTTTCATGAGTGCTGTATCAATGCGTTGAGTGCTGCACGTTGTCAACCATACATGTCCATGTACGCACGGGGTATGCCTGCATGGCACTCCTTCCACACTGTGCTCAGTGACTAATTTCAGCACGCCATCAGATTTTTAATTGAATGCTCCTCTCGTTTGTTCGGTCCGGCGGATTGTTGTTTCTTGTAATTTGTGGTTCGCGTTTGCGGGACAGCATTTGCCCGAGCACTCCTCAATGTCTGACCTGTTCACCAGTAACTGTCGCCGAGATACAGTGTACATGTAATTGGATGTGGTACATGGAATTGTGTCCTGTAAGAGTGCCTTACTGTTGAGAGGCGGCAAGATGGCAAAATCTGGGCGACAAGAGCTGGTTGGCTCATGTAAAAGGTAAGATCAGTACTGGTACATGGGCACAGATCATGTACTGGCAGCGCTTTGTACAAATACAGCACGCAGCGTTTGGAACATTGTACCTTCTGTGCATTTAGTCCACTTGTCTGGCATTGCATGCCACAGGAGCCAACACTTGCCATTTCTCCTTGTTCAACAATATTGAAATGATGGGGTCTCTGCATTTTGGAAATCAAACATTTGTTTAAAAACGAGACAGTAGCTTGTTGAAAACAATTATAGGTTTTGAATAACTTTCCTTTTTTCAGTGTTTTTTAAGTGTATTCCATTGATTTAATTAGGTGACATAATTTACAGGGGACTCTGTAAGATACATGTAACGTGGCACCACGTATGCAATATACATGTACATGTACGTTCTAAAACAGAAACCATCTACTGTACCATCATAATGTACATTTATGTGTACTGTGCACACGGTCTCTGTTCTTGAGCAAACAACGGCCCACTGCAGTGAGGTGTAATGTTAATGCACCGGGTGATCAGTGCAAGAGCATTATTTTACGAGCAGGTCCCCCCCCCTTGGAGCATTCTGATTATTAACTTATTATTAACACGCCAAGCCCCCGCATGCGGGCCATCCATCAAAATTTGCCATATGAGCTGACAGGTGTTACGGTGATATATATGTATATGCACATGTACATGTACCGTAGTTGTGAGCTGTCTAGAATGGAACAGTGTCTTGTGTGAGATCCCATAAGTGGCTGGCCGAGAGACTAGGGTTGGTACATGTACATGTACAATGTATATAAATATGTACGGTGTATCGGATTTTTCAGTCGGCCCAATCAGTTACAATGCGATATTCAGAATATCTGATACTTGTGCATGTACGAGTACATGTAGATGTAACAATTATCCTCGAACAAGATAAAGAATAACAGGCACTTCCAGGCAAAGTGGAGAGTTGGTCACATCAGACATTATAAAAATACCGGTACATGTACAGTACATGCACTGTAATGTAGATGCAGTAATTATGCTTAAGAGGTTCGTGGGAAATGTATGTGAGTACAGAGAGTTGAAATCAGTGTTGTAGTTGAGACCCTCACCGGACAGTTTGTAGTCCTGATCACAAGCAACAGGCTGAAATGCCACAAGGATGATATGAAGGTTGGGAGTGTTGAATTCGGGCTTCTTCTGCTGTCTTACATGTAACTGTGATGGTCTTATTGACCTGTAAGGGTCCTGCAGGTTTATAGGACTATCTCGACTAAGCGCTGACCGAAAGTGTACTAATACCGTAACCTTTAATTACTTTTTATCTTTTCTCTTTTGGCCGTAAGACCCGAGGACTGTTTTTGCGCTTATGAGGGATTATATTGTGGATGTGCGCTAATTGGCCCATCTTGAACATTTAAGTTTAAGACGGGCTCAAGAGAATGAACTCTGATTATGCCCAAGCCAAGGCGAGGGACATTATCAGTGTTGATGTTTAAGACCGGCCAGACACATGGATGTGCATATTTATTTCCATTCATAAATAGCTTTTCAGTTGCAGTGTCAAAGCAGGTGTTATGATTTTCAGCGATTTAGTCAACATTTTTGTGTCACTCTTTCCAAACAAACTGCTGTCCACGATGAGGTTGTTGGCAAAGTGACCACATTTCCACTCTCACGTGGATTTGCCCTGGATCTTCAGACAGTGCTTAGCATTGATGGAGCCTGAATAAATGTTAGGCTCTTCAGCCCTGGGACTGTTCCCATGTGAACAAGAGCAGGTCGGTGCAAGGACACTTGAACTCTGCATTCAGAGGTTTTGTGAAAATCTGCTGTCTACAGACCAACAGAGATTAGGAACAGTGTTGGAGTACATGTACATGTACATAACCTATGCAGTTCTTGTTACACACCAGGTTTTTGCTATTTTTCCTCAGGATCTAATTCTTTTTTTTTTACTATTTCAATATACTTTTTACTATTTCAATATACATACTGTACATGCACCCGTACTGTACATAACTGAAATTTGACAGTGCCAAGATCAATCACAGTAATGCCAAATAGTGCTATGAATCTGTCATCCGGCCCAAGTAGGACCTCTGCCTTATGTGAGTTCAAGTGCACATTATGTCGGCCGTGAATTTCTCTGGGGAAATAGGGAGGGCAGTGTCCAAATTTCGTTCAGTAGATGGCAAGCATGAAGATGTTAATGTTTGGCCCAAGTTGGGAGTAGTGCATTGTTGTTTGTTTGTGGCTGAGTTGAATCCCGTCCCTGCCTACTTTCTTGTTTCCTGGTTGCCTTGTTTTTGTTTTGTTTGTTAAATTTCTAAGTTCTTTGACTTTCTATTTATATTTATCAAAATAGCCATGCCAGTTTAAGCCTTTTTGTGAAAACTGCTTTGGATGGTATCTGAATGTATTCAATTCAATTTCTTAAAATTTTATTCCGTAAAGGTTTATTTTAAAACACCTCCAAAGAACTTTGGTTGACATAAAATAACATACATGTAAAACAGTAAAACCACAATGCAAAAATATAAGCTATTAAAAAACAAGATTGAATTAATTGAATAAGCAAATCATTGACGGAATTTGCGAAGTTTTGTTCATAGTATTTCCGGGTCCATGTTTTTCGCTGTTCAAATTGTCATGAATTCCACCTCAGCGTAACTTATCATATTTCTCACAACATATGTACTGAGAGTATACATAAATGTACATGTATGTTGTGAGAAGTATGACAAGTTATGCTGAGGTGGCAAGAGATGGTGATTCTGTTAGTAAGGATTTCACGAACTAATTAAGACCAGTCCCCAACGCTGACGTACATGTAATGACTCATTTTTTAAAAACACCAGTAATGCGCAGTATGACAAAGCGATAGGATAAGCGATTATACATGTACATGTATGAGGAGCACGTTTCTGCACTCTTGTAATGTTATGGTCCATAGCATTCATGATCCCTGAAGACCAAGTGACAACCATGACAACTCCGACGTCCAAAAGAGGGTTAATATACCGGTACATGTATAATTTATAAATTGTTAGTACCAGTCAGAAGCTGCAGATGCAGATGAGTGACAAAATCAGTCCGCCATCTTAACAAAATTCCACCATTTGTTAATGGTTGGTCTCTCTGAAAGAAGCTTAATTGTTTCCAGTGTGCAGTGACATTTTTGAAATCAGTTGTGGAGCTCTGTGCTTGAGATGCATCAGACAGCAAGAAAAGAAGGGAAAAGATGGGAAAAAATGGAGCAAAGATGGAGAAAAGAAGGAGAAAAGGCCAGTATCTGAAAAGAGCGACCTGGGTTTTAACACCAGATGGGTGTAAAATGCGACTCCCCTGCCCTGCACCCTCCACCCCACCATCACATCCAGCCACCTGTTCCACCTGTCTTAACTGGAGGACAGGCAATCTGCCATTTTGGACAGGCAGATTTGTCTTGCACAATACTTACAAAGCCAGTTGATGAATGGGCCCTTACTCCATTGTACACTGAAGTCTGAATGGGTTTGCTGTACAAAATAGTGGATGCAATGGAAATGAAAGATGGGCTTGCGTATAGTGCCAAAAAAAATTACCAACTGGCAGGCGATTTTAACCGTTTGCAATGAAAGGACGTTCAACGGTGTCAGTCCAACATGTGGGTAAAACCTTGCCCTTGTTCAGTTGATTGACCATGACTTGCATGTGTATATAAATGTACACTGTACATGCAAATTCACATACAATCCATTTGATTCCCGAAACCATGCACAGCTTAGGGAACAGTAAATATATTGAAACGTTTAGGCCTACTGGTACGTTCAGATCGTTAAATGCATGTTTGTGACATGTTTGTAAAATCCATTGTACATTTCCCCCAACTCAGCACAGTTACTGCAGAGTGACACTTTTCTTCCCCCGATTACAATGCACATACGTACATGGTACACATTTGCAGTTGCCACTTTTGTTTGCACACAGTACATGTACGTACCCTGGTAAAAAACTCAGTGGGTAAAAAAGCTTGGACGTGTGACAACCGTGTATTTCTACGTTGCAATCAACTGGTTATAATTCATGTTCAAGTGCGCCTGAAGAGTACCAGCATAGTTTGAAATTTTTTCATTCACTATGATAGCGGTATAATTTGTACATGCAAATATACCAGGTAATTGTACCAGTGCATGTGCCAGAATGGCAACTGCTACCTTTCATAGTCGTGCATTAAGTGGCAAATATGGTACTGATGTACACTGTCAGGTACATACATGTATGTACTGGTCAGTCCATTAACCATGCAGGGGACATTTAGATTTCAAGAACACAGGTGCCTGTATATGTACCATCATACATGTACATACATGTATATGTACACTGTACATTGTACCATGCACACATGTACATGTACGTGGAACATAGCCAAATTCACTTGTTTAAAAAGACACATTCTTGACTATCCGTATCAGTCAAAACCAGTCAAATTTCCCATACATGTATGTGTCTGTGTAGTGGGGAAAATCACATGGAAGGAATTTTTGACTGTTTTTGACGGTTAAAGCAAAAGGAGGGTTAATGCGGACATCATGTTCTGTACATGTACACTGTAGGGGACCACTGTACCGTTACGTGTACTTGTTCTGTTAGTTGTGGGGACTTACAGTGTATGTACATGTACGGGTGCACTCGTCGTTACACTGATGTGTGGGGACCACAGCATTTTGGGGACAGAGAGATGCCCCCTCAACTCAGTCCTGATTTGCCTATAATGAAGAAAACTTAACCTACCCCATCATGCAGTCCCCAGCCTGTGATACTGTGCATAGTGTACATGTACATGTAGTACCTGTAGGATGCCATACTGTTAATCACAGAGTTTACATACATGTAGTTGTCACTACTCACATACACATGTACATGCATAGACCGCAGAAGGTGAGGCCTTCGTTGCATTAAGGAAGAGGGATTTTTTTTGGTCAGGAAAAATGGGCCTACACGTAAGTTAAGGGGACAAGGTATTGATCCTTGAAACTACATGTACAGAACAAGTTGAATTCACACGTTTGACCGTTTACCCTTACATCTGTATTTTTTGTGGGGAATTTCCTTTGTTCTCCTGTCGTAAACAAAACTATCACTGACTATGCGTGAAGCAGAATTTTCTAATTGCTTCCATTTTGTCCTGAATCATTTTCCTTGGCTGAGATTTTGACCGAACATCCTTTATACATGTGCATGTATATAAAACACTTCAATTTGCAACAGATAACTACACTTTCCAAATATCAAGTTTTTGTGAAAATCTTGTGGGATACCATTTTATTACCCCCACAAGTACAACAAATGTTCCTTGTTGGGGTACTTCCCATTGGCCCGGTGTCCCACAAGGCACCCACCCTCCTCACAGATAACGATGTACCGGGTGCATGTACTGAAGCCATTCACTGCAGCAATGTCATCCATAGCTCGAGGAGGCTTCAGGCAGATTGTGCCATTGGATCATGAATTTTGGATATGTGCACCTGAGTCAGCAAAAGAGCTGAATACTTTGGGCATGTTTAGACATGAATAATTCAAATTAAATGGAGGCTGGACGTGCTTGAGCATTTAAAAAATTCATCGGGAGCTCTTCGGGGCAGCCTCCATGTACATGTACATGCTTACATGTACTGCACATGGAATAGGGAATGTTTAAAAAAAAAAAGCAGTAGAATATTGAAGAATTTAGATATGCCGGACTTTAGAAAGGGATGGAGAACACCAGAAACTTGGGGATGTTCAGGATTTCCCAGAGAACAACATTTCCACTGAGAAGTACATGTACAAGGTACAGGGGCATGTAATACATTACATGTTGGCGTCAGGTGTTCCGTTGGTTTACCCAGATTTACCTTTGTTTCAATGAATTTTACGATTTGAATAATAAACGAACAAATATGTAGCGCCCACAAGATTTTGCTGGGGTGGGGGATTTGGCTAGACCATGTCTGCTTTTCGTTGGACGAACACCAAAAGTGGTCGGAAAATGGCCAATGCGCGACTGTTAAGTTGCACCCTGCTGTGGACTACAGATGGACCTACATGTATATATGTACCGTACATTCACACAGTTTGCTTATTTTTGGGCCCTGACTTTTGTTTTGCCTGCAGATGCCATCAACATCTCGACCAATTCATCAATAGCATTCCCCTCCACGTCTCCGCACTCATCCTCGTCCTGGCAGACTGCTTCATCGTCGTGTCCGAGCTGCTCTTCTCCTACAACATGATCATGAATGGTAAGATGCCAGTCTGGTAACTATATGGGGCCCAATTCCCTGCAGCCACACTTCTGAAACGTGTACAAACAAAGCTACCTGCATTCAGTAAGTCCCCCCAAATAGTGACAATTACCATGTACATGTAGATATACATGTACATGTACCAGCTTCAGCACCATCTCCGGCTTCAGGCATCGAGGAGGGCCACAGTATCAGCTTGGGGGGCTACATCACAGGACAAAGAATATCTTCACGCTTATGCATTTTGCTGATGGGGGGCCTGCTTCCTGCCGGGGGAGGGGGGTCTGGCCCCCTCGGGCCCCCATTGGCGACTGGCTTGACTAGCATGCTTCCTGTTTCCGGGCCTACATGTACATGTACACGCACCGATTACATGTAGTTTGTTTCCTTTACATTGTGGTTGCATGTTCAAATTTGTAATTCATGTTACAATGGGCAAGATCAAGGACCATAGTTTAACCATGGTTTGACCAACTCTGATTGAATGTATGTTAGTTGACGACAGTTGGACTAGTCTAGTTAATTATTTTCGACCAGCCTACCGAGGTTTGCCGCGCCGTTAGTTGCCAAAAACCCTTTTTAATAGGAAATATGCCGGAAAACAGTGCCGGTATGTGACTCGTAAACAACCATTTGCACTGTTGTTTTTGCTATTTTGCCGTTCCTATGGCCACCTCCTCTCCCCTTCGGCCTAAATGACCTGACAGTGACAATGGTTGATGAGGGTCGTTCGCACTTCAACTTCACTGCACATGCGCTACCGGTACACGTGCACTGTTCATGTTTACGTCACGAACCAACCTCTAGTTAACGAGTGGCCCTTGATCAAACTTGCCTGATATTTTAATAGATGACTTGTGGCAAAGAAAAGAGAAGGCTTCTAGCCAAACAGAAATCGAGGGGGGATACAAACAGAAATTAAAATCAACACCGTCATTGAGAAAAACAGATGTTTAGTCATCGAACTATTGTACATGTAGTTCGTATCTATGTACTAGCGCATGTACAAGCACCCGCATCAACTGCAGATGTTTTTTATATTTACGGTATTTATCCCTGTGATTGGTTATAATATACAGTACACATAAGAAAGGAGATTTAAAACCAAGGCCAAAACCCTGATTTTTATTTACAGCCAGTTATTAAGGTCAGTGCGGCACCACCCGCTGGGCAATAAAATTTAACAACAGTCGTTCTGATTTAAGTCTCAATGACAATTTCCTGATCATGGACCATGTAGACTGTTCACACTATCCTGCCAGTTTTTTGGTGCATTCCATACGCAGGACCCTGAGAAGTACAACGTGACCTCATAACTCTGCAGGTACCGTACGCGTACAATTAACAAACATTTTGAAGTTCCTTAAGATGAAGTTTGGTGACCTAGCTTGTACAGCTGGCCGTTACAAGTGTGCCTGTGTTGTTTTGCCCCAAAGGGCTGATCTTTTCTTGAAGATGGGACAGTTTTGAGGTTTCTGTGCGAGTGCATACATGTACATGCTCGTTTTGTACATGTAGTCGCACACACTGGTGCAACATGCTTGTTGTAAGGTACGGGTACATGTACGGGCACATGTAGATGTTTTATGGATCAAAAACGTTATTGGGACAGATATTTGTCCTCACAACTCAAGTCTTGACATCAGATTGTCCCCCCAAGGCCTAGTGGCCTGGGCAGTACATATATTTGCACATGAACATTACATGTAGGTACATGTACATGTATGGCCTCAAAAGCCATGCACATGTGGATAAATTTACATTCGTCATGTAAGTTGTAGACTGTACATGTACAACTACAGTACGTGTACATGTGTGTACTGTAAGTACATGTGTCATTTTTTAACATGCCTGTATTATAGCCAACATGTCTTCAATAATATACTTGTGTGTGCAACAGTACAGTTTTATATACATGTACATGTACAGTACATGTTGGTTTGACTAAAATTTTCCTGTTTTCCTTTTTTGCAGTTCAAGCTGACGACAAGACAATGGTGCTGTTGGCTCTGTCTTCGACTAGCCTGGCCATCGTGTCTCTCTTTTTGCTTGAGGTTTGTCTGTGAAACTGCATACATGTGCATGTAGTTGCTTGCGTGATGTTCATGCGTGAGCCGGGCTGAACTTGGATGAGCCCGGCCATGCCGCTTGCAGTGCGCAGTGGGCTGGGGCAAATGAGCAACCCTTTGGCATCATTTGAGCCCAATTACCCAAATCCTGAGAATGTTTTCACCGAATAAGAGAAAAGCAAAAATATTTGAATGTCACTCCACCCTGAAAAGTTTCCCAACCAAAAGGCATCATGGACTGAGACAGAAGCCACTGTAAGCGTTCCCTCCCGCTCCTGCCCACCACCACCTATTTTCCCCGCCCCCTCAACCTCCATGGCAATGTACATAACCAATGCTATACATGTACGTGTGTGGCAGCTGATTGATTTGAAAGTAAACACTGCCGTCGTTTATTTCCTCAGGTGTGCTGTTACAAATCTAAGTAAACAAAACTGGTCAAATATCTTGTTGAGGTTGGAATTTCCCGGTTGTATTTCCGTCATCGTTTGTCAACATGAAATCCTATGAAACTTAGGAGCATTATCTTGTGCACGAAGCACTGAAAAACAAAAAGAAGGATTATTTCGTTTCCCAGAGCCAAGTGCAGCTACATTACATGCATACAGTTCTGCACGAATCCAGGAATGTGCACAGGGAAATTGCACACTTCAGCCTTCGGTTGTACTGTAGTCACTAGTCCCATGAGTATTGCTTCGGTTACATGATATATCAATCGAGGGTGTCAATTATTCAACGCCTGTTTCCTCTCTTACAAGCCATTAAGTACAATTAGAAATAAAGGTTTCCTCTCTGAATGTACAGGAGAACTGACCAAATGTCGAGAGCCCAAAATCTGAAACTTTCTTGGCACAGAGCTTTTCGTTCAGTAGATGTAGACATACAGTGGGGTGAAATCAGAAGTGGGCATACATGTATGTGGTTGAAAAAATACAGTTGGATTTACATGCACATGTGGCAAACTGCATGCATTAAGGAGACACAATATTTGTTAGTGAAGAGATTTACTTTTGAAAGGGATCAGCCCACTTGCTTCTTTGACTTATTGCTGGACCCGTAAGGGTATGGAAAGAAATGCAGCCCTTCCATAGATTGAAAGTGTTGATAAATGGGATGGAGGCATCAGTCGAAATACATGTGTTGACCTTCAACTTGTGAACTCAATAACCATACAGTAGCTGGTGGGGTACTTGATCCCAGGGGATAAAAGTACTGGTCTAACAATGCACTCTCGTAACTTGAATGCACCTTGGCAATTTTGATCCGTGACAGACTGTCTTTATTCCTATTGTGTTGATGACAGAGACACTTTTTGGCTGTCACCGAGTGATAAATTGGGAGGGTTTTGTTTTGGGATGGCATGCCGGCTGCCCATTCACCCGGAGAAGAAAGGACGAACAAAATGAAAAAAAAAAGATTAAAAAAACCCTGAACAAAGCATTGTGCCTTTCGTCTCCTTTGCTATGAGGAAATTGATGTCTGGGCTGGCCGACAGTTTGTTGCAGAGGTTTGGGAGACACACCCCAGTAAACCCAGGGAATTTGGGCTGTTCCTTCCCACAGTGCCCCAGCCAAGGCCAATAAGCCTGTTACTAATCCCCAAACAGAAGTGGCACCTCATAGTGCCATTATATATATCCCTTTAAGGAGCTGAATAGCCGGAGTACATGCACACACAGGCATGTCTCGGAGGACAAAGAAAGAAGAAAAACGGGATTAAGTTGAGACCTGTGATTTAGTTGCAGATGAGAATTTTGCGTAAGGACAATAGTGGCAAGTGCGTGTGAGATGGCCCTGCACATGTGCAGTGTGCATACATGTGCAATTGTGCATAATTGTACAGTACATATACATGTAAATGCAGGTACCACGTATGGCCAAGTGAGATCAGGGACCATTTGTCCATGACTTGTAAATTTTGCCGGGTACCCATGCATGTTATATTGGATGCATTGATTAACAGGGGAAAAACAAATTGGCCATCAGTCGATGAACCGTCACCGATTGAACTTTGCCCAGACTGTTCATGTACTGGCGCCAGCATATACATGTACACGCAGTGATTGACTGTACGTTGTACATGTTCAGTACAGTCTGTTCCCAATGCACAACTTAACCAGTAAAACAGAAAGGTGGGGTCAACTGTCTGGTTCCAGCCTCCCTTGTTGTGTGAAATTGACATGGCAATCAAGGGACCATGAGTAGCGGCACATGCAGTTTGCCTGTTCTCCCTCCCCCCCACACAGTGTTTGTACAGTGAGGAGCACGGTGCGTTTTACCAGTGAAGCATTTAGACGTACATGTACATGTCTACAAATGGTGCTTGAGCACAGGGCATTGTTGCTAGGTAACAAAGCATCCACCCTTGCTTGCTTTCTATAAGCCTTATTCTTGAGTCAGTCATCTTGAAGATTTTAGAACTGAGGCGATCCCTGTAATTGTACACGTCACAAAATAGCCAGGCTCCTTCCCTTCTGAGAGTGTTCAATAAATGAGGTAGATTCAGGGAGCAAGATTGAAAATGGCCATTTTGTGCATAAAGCCTGTTGCAGCGGGCAGCAACTTCTAGCGGTATTACAATGTTGTGCATCTTTTGCCACATGCAAAGTCAGTCACATCAACATGGCTTCTCTTTCCTTGGGCGTAAGGGCAATGTATAGTGTGCTAGTGAGAAAATACTACAGTACATATGCGTGTATGTTGGACAGATGTTGCACTGATGAACTCGTTGTGGAAAGCCTCATGTGCATGGTGTCTTGTTCAAACTAATACAAAAGATACATGAATCGGTACATATGGCAGCATCTCCGTGCTGTGCCAACCTTTTACCTGGGGTGGGATTTGTTAGGATGTAATTCTGATCTCAGGATTCTTTTTCTTGGAATTTTCCCGATCTCAGGTTTCTTTCCTTAGAATTTTTCTAGTTCCAGGGTTTCTCAGAGATCTCTTTTTACTGTGTAAGTCTGGAAAATCTGTAGTTTATCATTAAGGTGTTGTGACTTAGAAGACAAGAAATGGGTATTTTGATGGATTCTCCCAGTCAAACACAAATGTATACCATAGATGCTGCTGTGGCCTGGGCCCTCCAAACTTCTGGTGGTTATTTGGAGGATACATGTTTTCCTCCTATCTACATGCCTACATGTGGTGTGGACCCATGAACAAAAGAGGTCCACACTGTGCCGTTTATGGGAACCTTGTATGGACTACGCCAGGTCTACCCTTGAGGTTTTCGTCTCTCTGAAAAACAAGATTATAGGCATTCTTGGGTCAACTGTCAGGACAAAAAATTGGGAACATATACCCAAAAAAGGTAGTAGGATGTAGTGTTCACAGTTTAAGAATTATATGTATTATGCCACCAAGTTTTCCTAACTACACGAGAAAAAAAGAATGTCCAAACTACAAATACTGTATGTATGTGTACATATGTGTAATACATATATAATGTGTACATTTATGCAACAGCTGAAGAGGTCTTTCTTTTTGAACTTGCAGGTCGTTGTCAGAATATTCAGCATGGGTGCCCACTTTAGAAGGAGAAAAATGGAGGTGAGTTGCCAAAATTGAAAAGTTTGAAAGACAATACGGGCCAGCCACTAGTCTGTAATCAAGCCAACACTAGCCTGGGGACAACCTGGACACAATTTCGGAGAGAATGTATATAAAAAATAATTGCATGGTGCTGGATGTTTGGTTTGGTATGATCTGTTTCTGCTGTATCAGTGAAGTCAGTGAGTGGGTCGTTTTACATGCCAGGCTGTGTTCTCTTGGCACACACTTTGAACTATTAAATGTAAATGAGGGTTATGAGGACACGATATTTGGAATTGCAGATTTTCCAGACTGGACACGGGTGTCAGCTTTGCTCTCGAAAAAGCAGCACCTGCCAGCCTTTAAGCTGGGATCGTGATAAATGGGGGTCCCTGGCTTATGCCAGGTCTCCGGCGAACAGGAATTACGGAGGGCTCTTGTTGCATAGGATAAAACCACTAGTGCGGATCATGTTAATGATATCGACACAAAGAGTCACTTCATAGATGAGGAACTGAAAGCTGAAAAAAAAATGGAATTGTATATAAACCATCACCTGAGGGGTTACAAGTACATGTACATATGGTTGAATAGTTGATTTGAATGCATAAAGTCGGCTGTTTAATACAACGCATGTACAGTCCACGGGCACGTGCTCAATTGTCTGACCTACAACCAAAAATGTCACCACGGATGCATGCTTGATTTGAAGTTGGGTTGATTTCTCTGGGCTTTGTGGAGGGGACACATCCGGGATGAACAAAAGTCAATTTTGAAAACGTGGACCACCCCCTTTTCAATGAGAAAGGGAACGTACACGTGCATGCAAGGCTGATATATGTAGTATAAATGTGTGCTAGTTCACAGAGAGAGACTCATCCTAAGAACGACAAAATAAAGCAGTTCCCTGAGCCCTTTCTGCTGCAATTAACATTCTCACAGCATGGCAATGTATACATTTTTTTATTAGCATAGGAGTTAATTTTTAACTGCGTATCCTTTTGAGTTCTTATTTTCTCTTTTTTGCATTGGAATAATACAACAAGACCAAACCCATAAAAGTGTACATGTACCTAGCTTTTTACAGAAACAGTGATATTTGGAGCAACACCAGAGACCTCGATGCTCAGGGACCCATGATTTGACACTGATTGGTCCTGTTTTGTTCCTTCCTCCACCCTTTCTGTCCATTATGGCACAGAAATTCTACCATTCTCCTGTAAGGTGTCATGCTGATGTGCAGTATCAATACCCCTGTCAGTGACTTAGTGCATTAAGAACTGCTGGTATGGAGACTGGAATTTTTTTCTCAATCATGTCTGCCCATTTTCTGTGTTTTGCAGGGTGGATTTTTTCAGGCATATATGCAACACGTTAAATTCCGAAATCAAACCGTGTGGTCCTGTGCATATCTTGAGTGAGGGGGTTCGCTCTCTCTTTTGGCAATGATATTGGCAACTTGGAGCAACTTTGCACCACTCCTAGTGGTCCCTTCTCCTCACCCCAAAACGCATGCACAATTCCTTTTGGATGTTGACAAAGGAGTATAAACGCATGTAGTAGCAACTAGCACAGCATTGAAGTGTCATTCTAGCCTTTTGTCACCGCTGTTGGCAAGGGGGACATCTGTGCTCTTGTATTTCTGTTCATGTCATGTAACAAGACAGAGTAGGGGTATGTGTACATGTACGTGTCTCAAATTTTTTGAGCGGACACGTTTTGGCCTTTCCCTCCTGCAGATATTTGACGTCGTCGTGGTCGTCGTGACCTTTGTCGCGGACCTGGTCTTCTTTGTCATCCATCTTCAGGATGAGGGCACGAACACATTCCCCTTTGCCCGAGCCTTCTCTTTTCTGGTGGCCCTGCGCCTGTGGAGGTGCTGGGGCATCCTTCGCGGTAAGTCCTTAGGGCAGAGAGTGCTGAACCAGGAAGTTTAGTGCAAACAAATGGAGAATGAGCTGGTTGGTTGCGTGTTGGTTTTTCTCTCTAATGCATGCATAGTTGTGCACATGATATGTTTACTAAAGGAATTCTACAGCTTGCACAAGTCAGCCATATTGAATTGGAAGTGAGGTAAACTGCTTTAGGGGAACCCACGCATGAAAATAAAAGCAATTAAAATAAAGTTTATGTCATTTATGCTCAAAAATAATTTAACATTTGTGATGAATTGCATTTAAAATGTCTCATACATACAAGCTACATTGAACAAAATGTCAGTAGGGCATAGAACCCAAAATAATGTGGCACCGCCCCACTTAACAGATTACATTTACATAAGATAGATTCTGGGAACATGATCAAATATGGCTCCCTTGCCCAAATTAGATCTATTCACTGACACACCGCCGATTGTGATAAGAGAATACCGTTTTATTGAAATGACTCTCAAGATAAAATAAAAGTCCTGTTTTCAATTTGTTTCACTTGGTTACAGCCTGTGAATATACTGAGACAAAAGTCTGACTATTCTGGGTTCCAGAAACTTAATTTTCCTTTCAACGTCTGTGCATGGGAACATACATGTACATGTATTCCCAAATGCCCAAAACATACACTGATCTGAGAAGTAGCCATTTAACTGTGATTACACCACAAATGCGCACATGTCACAGTGTCGGAGTGAGGTCCGTCACTAGCACTTTCACAAGTCCAGTCGTGTAGGAATGCCCCTGTCCTCGTCCATTTGAATAGCTTGTGACTTGACCTGCAGCATCACAGTCTTGGGATGGGTTCTGGACAGTCTTGTGACGGACTCAACTGCAGCACTGGGTGTGGGTATCTCCGCAGTAATACCAGAGGATTCCATTTCTGGTCACTTTAAAGTCAAGGGGTGCAGACACCTATTCACATTCTGCATCCTGTCACAACACAACGATTTACAGTACATGTACGCATTGTTTGTGCAGGCGAGAAGAAGAGAGTACGGGAGGAGACGGCGTGCGAGTTGGATATGGAGAGGTACGCCCGGCGGCAGGCAGAGGCCCAGGCAGACGTACTGCAGGCACAGTGCGACCAGCAGCTGGTAAGATGGTGTAGTCACTTGCTGGGGATGGGTGTGAGCACAGGGTAGAGTAGGATGGGGCATGGAGGAGATGGCAGGTGAGTTGGGGATGGAGAGTTACCCGCTGCGGCATATATGTAGAGGTCCAGGCAGATGCATGGTGATCATTCACTTGTCAGGTAATTAGGCCAGGGATCTTGGGATGCATTTCCTGATCGGGGAGGGAGGTTTGACCATGATTTTCGTTATAATAAACCAGATTATGGGTTGGTGTTCGGAGCCTTCGCTGTTTCATCTCTGTCTCCATCTCGTTCAGAATGCGTGTTCCCATCTTGCTTGGAATGCTTGTGACCGTCACAATTTGCACATGGATGCGAGCTCATTCCATGTTGGTTCAGTCTATATGAATAATGAACAACAGCAACTGGCTTCCTAGAAGAATAGTTGCGTGGCCTTGAAGTGTCGCCGTTAAGTCACTCTGTGATCTGTTTGCCTTTCCACTTTCCAGAAAGAGATTGCCTATCTGAGAGACTTCCTCCACCAGAATAACCTGTACCCCGACACGACGAAGCTGGACTTCGTGCCAAACTACCGCACCAGTGCCTCCATTTCCTCAAGTGCAATTGACTATGAGAAGGCCGACACGCTCCGAGTGAACGGCAAACTCAGCAAAGGTGAGATGTAGTGCTGGAGACCTGAGCCCAGTACTAACTCTCTGTTGCTTCAAAAGCAAATGCAACAGGCTGATAGGGCTTTAGTTGTTTCCGCATACTGTACGTGGTTCATTTGGAACACGTTTTTGTCAGTTTGTAATAAGAGAGCAAAAGAGCAGCTTTCCACTGCCTTTGATCTTTTTTACTTGATGCAGATGCCTCTTTAGACAGCATTGCCTCTTCTGCCAAGGAGCTGGCCACGTCACTCTCCTCTTCCCAGAACATCTACAGTGAGCCCCCGACCTTGAGCAGCGGGCCCCTGAGCAGTTCGCCAGCCCCCTCGGTGTCCTCACACCACCGAGATGAAGGGCCCACAAGCGAGGACTTCGCCTCGCGAACGTCCCGGGAGATCGTCCAGGAGGCTGTGGCCGAGGTGCAGCAGAAAATGTCCCCGTCAAAGCGTGGTGGGCTCTCAAATGCCGGCTTCACTCCCGACGAAGAAGGCCAATCCTCGAACGCAGGTGTGGCAGAGAGGAGGGGGGTGGATGGGGAGGAAAACAGAGGGACGACAAATTTGGCTTTCGAGGGGGACACTCCTGAACCGTGCAGCCCAGCTAACAGTGAGAAAACAGGTGAGGGCCTTAAACTGTCTGGTCCTTTTGGACAGAATTATGCTTCAGTTACTGTCGTCAGCAATTCACGATTTGAAGTCAAGTTGGAGTTCTCATTTACTTTGGACAAACCCTTTTCTTGAGTCACCCCTACCTGCTGTGTACCATCAATGAATTGAGTGTCCCACTATCAAAGTCGGACATTGCACGCCTGAAGAGCACACACAATCAGTAGTCTTCAATATGTGTTTGGTGTGTGCGCATTTGGTGCCGCCAGAGCTTTATCCGTGTATCAGAAGCAAGCGTCAGGGTTACTTTGTTGCGGCAAAATTAAATTGTTTGAACCTTTCCTTGTCATGGGTGACCTCAGGCGGTTAAACAGCATACCCTGCTGATTACCATAGGAAATTATTTCACAAGAAAACTGCTGAAGCTGCCACTAATTTGCCTATTTTCAATCATGGCAGACACAGTAGGGGGGTGGTGCTATTTGAAGTGGGTAGATTCGAGTAAACACCAAAAGTTTTACCTTAACAAAATGGCACCCACCTGTTGTGTCTGCCATACTCCAAATAGGCTACTAGTGTTTGCCTTCCATTTCCTGATTCTCTGCCTGCTGAAGGTGCATTTTTGGGCCATTCTCATGGCATCAGAAATCCTCAGTGTTGCTGTCTAAGTTTTGAGATGACTGCCAGACAAGTATGTGTGAACATGCATTTCCTCTCATTATAAGACACTGGGTGCCACCTGCTCAAGTCATGCGAATCTCTGAAGTGCTGTTGGTCTCGATGAGTCATTCCATTTCTTGCTTTTACTTTAGTTTTTTAAATGAAAGTGGAGTGTTCAACAAATGAATCCAGTATTCTCCAAGTGCGAAATTTTGAACTTACAAGAGATTGATAAAACAGTTCAATGAGAAGGTGCAGTACAGGGTTCAGGGTCCTCTTCAGTGCCCTCCCCCCATGCTAGGCATTTTCCAGTTAGTACAGTTTTTTCCTTGGCAAACTTGGAAGCAGTTTTAGGACCTCGTTTTTTTTGTAATGATAACGATAACGTTTTCCAAAATATTAATGAGCAGCAGCCAAATTTGAACTGAGTGACCAGACTTAAACGTTTGCTGGCTGCTCTTTAAATGTGGTGGGAGGCAAGCCAAACCTGAATGGCCAACAGGCTACTTCTGTTGGTTGGGGAACACTGAGAGCTTTGGTGTACCATTCTCTGCATCTGTCAGTTCTGGGTGGCGCAGATCTTGTTAATTAAACATTTTGTTTCCCCATATATTCAAATAACAGTTTTTATGAAGAAAACTAATCTGGCTTCTGTTAACCTCCTTGTGAGTTTACTGCTGTTTTTTTTCTTCCCTCTGTCTACTTGTTCCACTGGGAAATGAGAAAAGAACGTCGTACAACAACAACAAATTGATAAACAACAAATTGACGACTTTCAAGCTGCTGTGTGTACCTCAAGTTTGTTCAGGGTCAAGCTTGGAAACTGGGGGATAACTGTGGCTTGAAGCCCAACTTTGAAAAGATGGTACTTTGGGCTGCATGTGTAGGTTACTTGGAGTTTGTCTTTCCACAGCAGTGAATTTTCTTTAATTACACTTTAACGTTTTTTGATCAGACTCGGAAGGGGAGAGCGAGGCCCAACTGCGGATCGAGTTGGACGAGATAAGGCGGCTGTCAGAAGAGGCTCTGCGAAACGAGCTGGCATCGTCCAACACAACAGAGGTGGTAAGGAACCGTCTTCAATCTCTTGGGGGGACGAGTTGCAGACAAGTTGCGGGTGGAACCACTCATTTCACTCGCGAGAAGCTCTGCATGTGTCCTGGATTTGTTCCAGAGAATATTTTGTTGGCAACGTGCCAACCATGAACATTTCAATATGGTTTACTAGACCCAACCAATCAAACAGCAAGTCTTAAGACGAGCACTGTCTGATTTACATGCAACAATTAAGAAAATTCAAAAACAGTCAATCAGTTCAAGTGTAGAATTAGAACAGAAAAACAGCTAAATTCATGAAATGAATTTGAGACAATGAGATACAAGTGAGAGTACAAACAACCAACATCAAACAAACTAAGTATCAACACAGTTGAACAATACCGAAGACAAACAACTACATGTAGATGCCAGTTAGATAAGCAGTTGTCAATTTTCATTCTTTTCTTCCCTTTCTTGCAGGACGGGATCCCCACGACTTCCCTGTGATCAAGAACACAAAAGACAACAGTCACTCTAGCCAACCAAAGATCATGCGTTAAAAGGTATTTATTCATTAAACAAAAAACAAGAGCACCAACCAATTTGGTTATTGATGTATGTGCCTGAATTGTCTTGTGCAAGGTACCAGCCGACCAGTCGGCACACGCTGTATTTGTCAAACTGCGGATGTACATGTACTTTGACCAGAGCTGCCAGTATCGGCAAGAGTCTCTTTGTGAGAACGAGCCTTTAGCAGTACTCACGTGTGTTCCCGTTACACGTTCTCCTGTTGAGTTGGAACGTTTTAAGATTCTGTCCGAATGTTATGTCAGTGGGTGCAGCGGACCCGCCGGTAAGGGGGTGCAGTGCCAGTGCAGCCCGCCCCGCCAGACATCCTCCTCCGTTGCTGTCCTTGTATGCAGCACTCTAGGCTTACCCCAAGAGGACTCCTTTGCACCGGGAAAGATTCCTCTCTGACATTTTGGCATGTGGACCATGCAGCACGTTTTCCTGAGGAAAGGAAAGACCACAGGGGCCGCATGGGTCATACGTCTGGCTGAGCTGCTGTAACCCTAACTCCGCAGGGGTGGCACGCCAACATTTACAGGCTGCGGAAGGGATTAGGTTCTGGCCGACGAGTTTCACGTTCCACATGCAAGGCACCATCTGATGACTCGGAATGATCTCCCTCTGGGATTCCTGTGAATATCAGCCAATCAGGAATGACGAAGTATGCTCAGTCCAGACGAGCACTCTCTCACGACATGTGCTGTTTAAAGAAACAAAGATTACGTCCTTGACGTGAACACGCGGAGCAGTGAGCAACAGTATCTCCAAACCTGCCCAGCACAGTTTTTTTTTTAAGTTCCCTCTGCTCTCCTTGATTAGAAAAGCATTAAAGAGTAATAATGGCCGTGTATAGGTGCAGTGGCAAGAATACTTTCATGAGTTGAAAGATGAAACATTCCATTCCACGATTCTAAGCTGAGTGGAATGGAACATGTCATCTGTCACCTCATAAAATTATTGAAGGGATATTACCCTAACTCAGACACAGTCAATGAAGGTGATTCACAATAGTGCGCCACCAAGAGTTTGCAACGCTTTGACTAATCACATCTTTCAAATAGCTGTACAGGTTGCCGAGTTATTTTGGTGATGTTGCTTTGTTTTTGTGAGGCAGTCGGAGGAATTTCTCTCTAAACAGTACTTGTATAGGAATTTCTAGTAATGCCCAATGACTAAGTGTATTCTGTGGAGGGACAGTCTATGTTACTTTTAAAATTGTGGCTGAAGACTAGCCAGAAATAATACTCAAAAAGTGCGATAACAGCCGAAGAATGTGCAAAATGATAAGTGTTTTGGAACCGTCTTCTTGCTACATGTACCGTTGGTTGCTACATGTACCGTTGGTGTAGAGTTTGAATAGTGTTACCTTGTGTTTAAAATCATTGTTGGTTTGGATTCAGTTGGCTTGGTTATTTGTTCCTGTATATTTGTTTTGGTTGCTGTTTGAATAATTTGGTGTTGTAGTCAGCATGCAATACTGCTAGTTCTTGCCTCTTAGAATAATCTATGATATTTGTACAGTGAGCTGCTTGGGTTTTGGTCAGTCGTCCCTGGACCGTTAAAGCCGCTCTGTTTGTTTAAAACTTGAGGAAGGCGTGGGTGGAGTGGAGATTCCAGTTCTCTCATCCCCCTGCCTGCGTATGCGTACTTAAAAGATGCGCCAAAAAGTTGTTAAGCGCATTGGGGAGGGTGGGAATAAGGCCTGTGCATTTTACAAAGATCATGATCTCGATCGGCGATCCGACAGCTGGTTCGCACCATCCATTGGGCAGGTTCTGGCATCAGTGAACCAAAGTCAGATCTCTGATTGCAATCTGGATCAGCACGAAAGAAACGGGCCCTGAAAAGGGGGGACATCCAGGAAAGAGAAGAAATTATTCCTGGTGTCACAAAAGGGAAAGGCTTTCTGGAATTGGACTGAAAGAAGGTATTGCCAATTATGACAAGTCGATCCTTTCATGGAAACTATTACAACATGAAGTAACTGTTAACGGTATCTTCTAACAAGGAGTTACATGCAGCTTCTGTATGGGGCATTATGTTCGCTGTCGGTGTGACAAGTATGTGAGCTCGGAATGTCAAAGAGTTTGTGTGACATTTTGGGGAGGTCATAAAAATCCCGCTCGAAATTTGCAAAGTGAAATGGGGGGGAGTTGAGTATGTGTGAAGGCCTCTTGTTAGTTGGTGCAAAAACATGCTCTCAAACAATAGAGAGAACGAAGCGATTGCTTCATTAGAACGGTAACCGAAATGAAAACGATCAGTTGTGTCTTGGCTGAGTGCAAGAGTATACTTTAAAGTATTCATCCGTTTTTCCTTGCATTTTGAGAATTTAGATTGAAATATTGTATGATTCATTCCGATTCAGGCACTTCAAAAGTTGAATTCATTGGATTTGTATTTCAAGTGTTGCTGATGTTCTTTCTACCCCCCCCCCCCGAAAGTGCTCGTTGTGGGGGTAGAAATCATTTGGCATATTGAAAGGAAACGATACATTTAGTTTTCAGTGTCGTTGTATTCAGTGATCTGTAACTATGTTTTTGTTTGGGTTGTACTGGTGTGGTGCTTTTCTTTTGGGGGGACTGAGTTCAGATGACTGAAGGCTGGTTCATTACTTAAGGTGAATGCGAAAGAGCAACGAATTTTAACACTGCGTGAAACATTTTGCTGGAGTTGAAATGTGTCCATCTGTTGCAAATTTGCAACACAAATATGCTAATCTCTCGTCAGAGTTTCGCGTTTATGTTCGTTAATATGCACTGAGTATGAACCAGCCTCCACAGCATCATTTTTATAGTGATGCGTTGTAGGACTGTCCAATATTTGTAGTAGTTTATCAGTATGTTAATGATTAAATTCTTTGTAATTTGGTCGTTCGGAAGTTTTCGTCCATTTTGAGGGCGTTAAGCTGCTAGAAACCATCGATGATTCCGTGACTGCGCTGCGCCCAGTTGTTAGTTCTGCTCATGGGGTATATTCTTACACAATAAGTAAAGCTATTGTGAAATATTTGTATAAATTTGCTTGTTTATAATGAAAACTTCACTGTGAAATGAAATGCAAACAGAATAATTTATGTCCAATCTAGGAGTATTTAATTCAGCCGAATTTTATAATTACGGAAATGAAAGGTTTATTGCATATAGAAAAAACTAAATGTAAATATTATTATTGTTATTAGACAAGGTGTGTGCAAGATTAAGCAAATTGTACTTGTAAATGCGCAGGAGCAAAGATTGAATAATTCATAAATGTACAGTGCACTCGTAAGGTGGCTGATCAATAATAATAATGTTGCGAAATGAGAAAAAGAAGCAAGGTTCGTAAACTTTGTGTGTGTTTGCTTGAAGAGACTTTTGTGGTAAATATATTCCTTATGAAGTTTTGATTTTTTTCTTTTCCTTTTCTTTCCTTTTTTGCCCCATGTCAGAACTTGACCCACTCATGTATGCTTGACTGTGGTTGAGGTGTTCGCAAGAGGCCACCTTAGGATCATTTTTTTTTTAAGGATTACAAGTACATGTACGATGGTTTTCGATGATATTTTCTTTGTATGTACAGTACATATTTGTTGGAGTGTTGTTGTTTGTTTCGTTTGTTGGGTGTGTATTTGTTCTGTTTGTTGATATAGCACCACACTCAATGGGGTGCGCATGTGGTACACTGGTGTAATTGACCTTAGCAACTGACTAGTTCTCTTCGGCCATTGACTAGTTCTATTTGGCAGTTGAATCTCAAACTAAAAGTCATGTTCATTTTTGTTTGTTTTGAAAGTTATATTGTATGTGGATGCTGTCCCAAAGTTGTGGTGTGCTGCAGACGAAGCCATATAGTCTTTGTTCAACACTTTTATAGACTGTCGACGTTTTTGTCTAATTTATGAAGTATTGCACCCTCCTGTGACTGGTTTTTGACAACTCAAAAATGTGAGGTTGTGTCTGAATAAGCCATGGCCATTCCTAACAGCTGGATAAGCCATAAGTACATTGCTTTTATTAGTACCCGTGTTGTTACTAGCTGTGGGGGGAAGGGATGCAAGCGATCGTACACCCGTTTCAGACGCGTTCTAGAGTCGCGTCGAACCAAATTAGAAGTAAATTCTGGATTAAGTACAGCAAAACTTCGACGTGTGAAACAATATAGGAGCAACCAGGCATTCTAGCAGGTGAAAGATCGAAACTTGAAGGCGCTCGGAACGACATCAGAGATAACTTGGATTCAGAAGTCGCTCTTTTCATGGACCAAACCCAGTGCATATATATGTATTAAGTTCGTCTGTCTGAAACCAAAATTTAATTGGTTGACCTGCGTCGATCGTAATTCTATTTGGTTGGGTGCGACCCTAGAACGCAGTCTAGGGTAACAGTCTAGTACCAGGGGGAACGGTTGAAACCACTAATCTTTATGGAAAAATTGTTGTTTTTTGTATTATATGTCGTTAACAGTGAAATCACTGTCCTCAATATCACTCAGTCCACGAATAACAGATTTGTAATGAATGATTTTTGAATGATAGCAGTGGTCAAGACTGGTTCCTTTAGCCTACACACGTGGCGGGATTGGGAACCAGTGCGTAGCATCACTCTTTCGAACAACTTGGAACTGACCGAGTTATTCACATATCTATTATTTTTACAATGAGATCAGTGGTCCAGAACAAAAAATGTTCTGGTTGTGCTCACGTGGAACAAAGGGCGCGTAGATCCTTCTTTGATCTCCAGCGTCTTGTATCAAGACTACATGTACATCTTAATGCCAATCTCATGGCTGCCAACTTTGACCTGTTAGTCTGACAAGACGAATCTGCCGGCTAAGTTGGGAGAACAATACGCCCTGTCTAGGTCGCCAATCCACGTATTATTCGTTGTTTTTACGAGCACACCCCCCCAATGATGAAGTTGTTACAAATACATCAGCCTTTGCCGTAATTACATTTTACATTTTTTTCGGGGGGGGTTCTTGTTTATGTGGGTTTACTTTTCGTGACGTTGCGAAACGCATGTGCAAATCTCGTGCTCAGAGTAGTTTGCAGCCCTTAAATGTTGAGATTTGTTTTCAGAAAGAAAATACCAGTACAGTGACAATTCCAAAAACTATAAGGTTGGAATGATTTCTCGTGAGAAATTGTTATTGCAGTGTTGCCTTATTACTGAAAAATAAATTGATTGAAACTGCCCTGCTGTTTGTAATGTGTGCTGTAGGATTGTGTACAAGACTCTTCTTGCAAGTTCGGGACACAGAAGGTATTCTTAACCTAACCAGACAACTTCTTTTCGTTTTATCATTAACATGTTACTCTACAGTTCAGAATTGGATTATTTTAGCCTAACATGTTGAATTCGGAATTTTTTGAGAGAGGGGGCGTTAATCTTTTGTTTGTTGTTCGTGGGTTTTTTAATTTATTGTTGGTAGCACACATGCCATTTAATTTTTGTGTGTGGTTCAAAGAACAGATGAAATCCGGCCTCTAAGTGTACTCATGGAGGTTTAAAGGTCTGCAATTCCTACTTCAGGCTTGGTTGGAGTTTCAGTGTCTTCGATCATTCCTGCGTTCTGTCTTCCATTTTGTTCAAGGTGCAGCCTTCACAAATTGTACTTCCCGTCGGGATCCTTTAGTTTTCTGCCCGATTGACCCTCAGAATCACACAGGCACACTTGAGACCATCACTGCTGTCGCACTGGAGTCGCAGTTGTGTCCGAATGAAATGGCTACGACCGGTGCATTAACGCAGGTCTACGGGGCGTGGAAGCAGCCCCTAGCTATAGCGTCTTGCGTTAACATTAGTAGTGTTCATTCCGGTCGTAGCCGAGCCGCAACATTCGGTCACGGCCTCGATTTTCTCAGTTGCTGGCTTCATGCATGCTTTTCAGGGTTCGTTTTTCTTGCTGGTCGTCGTGGAGGTTGTATTTGTGGCGTTTATGGATTTTTTTCTATGATAGAAAAAGGTAAATCCACAAGGGTCGGTTGGTTTTGGCAAAGTAACCTGTTTTCGTGCTTCATCGGTCATCTTGCCGGGGTGTTCGCTGTTCGTTTGATCTCAGTCACACAGTTCTGGGTTTAGTCCAATTTTGTGTAGACACCATTGAATTTCTACACATATAATATAAAATTTCTCGTAATCGGAAAAAAAGATTCCACACCCGCGTGATCCGCCTGTTTTGGGGTTTATCTCGCTCAATAAAGCTGTCATTTACTTCAAACCCGTAGAATATTTTGAAAAAGTTGAAATTGTCCAACTTAATGGATATTTATACATGTAGTCACTCTTTTTTCAGTAATTTCTTCCATTGTGGCTGGGGGGTCCTAACTTCGGGGTTTGGGGTGGTGGTTTGTTTTGTGACTTGTGTTTGTGTGTTATTTTTTAAGCGTTCCTTTGATGTTTTCGAGTGCATTTTACCGCCAGTAAAATTCAAGACTGGTATCCTCGGTTCACCGTTTAATGTAGTCTGCCCTATTCCCATCATTTTACGTGCACCATTTTGGCCAATCCACCTATCTTTTTGTTAGTGGTGTTTTGGGGTCTTCACTTGTTTATGGTGAATGATGCTAATTTTCATGTTTGAGCGAAGTAGTGACGTCACCTTGGAAGCTTGCAGTTAATGTCACGGCATCAGAAGTGCCCGACGGTTTGCCGGTGTTGATGACTCATTGCATGTCCGTTAGTTGGCGGACAAGTCTTGTGCCCTTTTAGTGAGCTGCATCACGGGCTTCAAACTTGGGGCCATTTTGTTTCACATGGATCTGGATCTCGATCTGTGATTCCATCGCTGATTCGTTCGATACATTAGGCGGGTTTTGGTGTATGTGAACCAACGACAGATCACTGATCACGATACGGATCCGCGTGAAACAAACTGGCCCTTGTTCTCTCAGAAACAGTATTGGCTGTCAGCAACTCAGGCGAAGTCACAGCAAAACGCCCTCAGCTGTCAGGAACCGAGTGTGGGTCATGGCAGAGCATAACCAAACCACAAATAATGTGCTGTATTGTTTTCGATGAGTTTTAAGTTCAGACGAATAATTTCGAAAAATTAGATCTATTGTTTGTGTTCTGTCAGCGCAAATAGATAACCCTGCATGCGCGAAAATTGTGGTCTTAAAAAGTTACGCCTACCTCAAATAGTATCTTATACATCGCTCATTAGCAGATCCCATAGAGAGACAAACGCACCGCGCGACAAGTCGACCAAAATAATTACAAGTGCAAACAGCCAAGTGAGCAAAAGTGGCAACACCTTACGATCAGACTTGGGAATAAAATCACAGTGATTGAACTGAGGAGGGCGCCCTTCACGATTACCGCAACAGCTGCCTGGCCGCGACCGACAGTAACACGAAGTGGGGGCGCTAGTCTTATTTCCAGCCGCCTTCGAGCATGGGCAGAGATAACTTCTAAAAACGGGGGGACATTATTATCTACAGCAAAACCGGTGTTGGGACGAAGCCAACGACGTGCGGTCCGGGGCTCTGAATGTTTTAGATTTTGGGATGCTCTGCTGATGAGACGATCATTTTGACACCGTTTTCAAGTCCAGAAGCATTTAAATGAGTCATCAAGAGCTGTAAAATCAAAGGATGGAAGCCCTTGATGCCAAGTGATTCCAACGCGGCAACACTCTGCCGCTTCATGAACCCGCCACACAAAAAAAAGGAAGAGAGAAGGGAGACAAGGAAGGGTGAATAATGCAAGAAAAGACCTAACCTAGTACAGAAAAAAAATCACGTTAAATCCCTCATAGATTTGTCTGAATAGGGCTAGTACGTGCATAGAAGCATGGAGTAATTATTTCATTGGGAACGCAGCCGTGTTAACCCCCCTTTTTCTCCTCGAAAAATAGGCAATTGGGGGATTTTGGAATGTTATCAACCCCCCCCCCCGCTTCCCCGTGTGGAGACTCGAATTATATCTTACCGTTCTGTTCTCGTGGGAGAAATCTCACGTTCATGATGAAAACTTGTACCCCATTTTTGGCCACAGGCCGGCAGTATGTACAAATAATTATGTACTCTATTAAGAGAGTTCAGTTCTTGAGTAGCGTGCGCCACATGCCCCCGCCTGTAGAACAAGCATATGCGGAGAAACGCAGATTTAACTACATTGTATTTGCACTTATAGGGCTTGAAAAATGTGATCTCTTTATGATGATGAATTTGTAAGTGTGACTGTGGACAACCAGCCGTGAAAGACACTGACGCTAATCGATGTCATGACTCTTGTACAGTGTCATCCACCTACTCGGAGCGTTTTTGTCTCCTCCACACTGAGCCCATTAGGCGACCTTCGCTGACAATGGAGCCCCAGCTGCGCTGACTCGGCTCAAATCGCATTACACGCGGCTATTCCCCGCTACTGAGCTCCACGGTTCATTTTTTTTATTCTCTCTCTCTCTCTCTCTTGGTTTGTTCGGAAGATCTCTCCGCTGAAAAGCAAGAGAATGTGAATTCATCCATTATACAGAAGATTCTCTGAGAGTTTTGTTTTTCCTTTAGCGCAGTGAACGGTCTTTGTGGCCTTAATTTTGGTGGGTGTTGTATTAAAGTGCAGCGGCTATGCATTTTTCTTAGACACATTTTTTCTGCAACTTTGTTCTCTTCTCCAATGAATGATTACTTTTACACTCCTGTTTGGTTAAAGGTATTGAAAACTGCTCTTTCTGTAACACTTACAATTGAGCATGCTTTCCTAGACAACTGAGGGCGCTGTTACTGTGATGTCATCCAGGGAAAACAAAGTTCAGTGCATAGGTTTTTCTGTTAAAATTGTGAACCCAGAATCTACTCACTGAAAATATTTCTGGGAAAGGGATTGATGCGTGCTTATGACTATGCAAATAAACAATGAATCACGAAAGGAGGGGAGATTCAGTCCCATAAAAACCTTAAAAACAAACAAACAAACAAACAAACAAACAAACAAACAAACAAACAAACAAACAAACAAACAAACAAACAAAAACAAAATGCAGGATATTCTTGTGTACAAACCAGTGTATCTTGAAAATATTGCCAAACTCCCCTCCCCGAAAATTTGCACTGGGATTTGCACTTGGTGATTGCCATGCAGAAATGGTTGGTATAACAGCTTCGAATGCGTGGTAGCCATCTCCCCGGACAGTTATTTTGTTCCACGGGAAAATTTCCTTTGTGAATGCCCTGTGGAACAAGAGCACTGGCCTGAAAGATGGCAGCCATGCAAACCCTCTATATACATTATATATTGTGCTGTCTTTTCTCGTGCGGATCTTTTCCGTATACTTCGACTTTTGTTGCTCGTGGCCGGCCATACCGGTGCTTAACTTGTCGAGTCCCAGTGGCAGTTAATTGTTGATGATCGCGATTCTTCTTACACCATTCAGGTTTTCGGAGCTCTTCAAAGCTGAGGAATCGTGAAAGGTGAGTAGGCAGTGTGCACATAGTATGTGTTGGTTTATGAGTCAGGGTGTTTTTCTTTTCCAAGTCGTGTGGATATTTTTTAATACACAGTTTAGGCTTTTGTTCAGTTTCCTCGGATGGTTTTGCGAAGGTGGTTTGAGATAGTTTGTTTCCATCTGCCCTAACTCTTGACTCGCGGGGCCTGACCCCCAGCCTTTGCCACAGTATCAATTTACACTTTAACACGATCGACCCCGAGTTACCGCCTGACTCAGCGCTGGATACAAATTGAATAAATGTTGTCTGCGAGCTGGCCGGTGTCTACCGTCGGTCGGGCGAGGTGTCCAAGAGGGTGGGTTAAAGTCGGGGAAGGGCAGTATTCTTCAGGTCACCGATCGAAACGCGAGAGAGGTGTCCTCCGGTTTCCCTGTTAAAGGGAACAACAACAACTGACCTTCCTGGGGATTAGATATGCAGACATGGTGTCTCCCTTTAAAGCGGCCAGCGCCCTCCTGTGACACTTCGCAGCCACGAGAATACAGCTTTCATTTTGGCAAGTGCATTGCAGCATGAGCGAGATTGTGCCTAGTGCTGGTATTCTGCACCCCGCTCGTTTGAAGTGAAGCGACGGCCTTTTCTACGGACCCTCCAGTGCCGGGGAGGTTAGGTCGAGAACTTAACTTAATATACTTTCTTACCTTGTGTAATCTCATGGGTGTTCCATTACGGAGGCCCACACATGCCAAAAACTGGGCGTTTAGTAGTACTAGCTTTCGTATTAAAGTACTCATTATGATGAGTA